TGGTGTGAAAGGCGCGATCTATTATGTAGCCATAGCAACGCTGATATTTTCATGTGTGAAGATAACACGTTATTTTCACACGTGAAGATATCACCTTTTTTCATTGGTGTTTATATATAAAAGCCCCTTGGTATTTATCCTAGGTTTGGGATTTATTTATAATTCAAAAAGCCCCTGGATTGCCTCCACGTCACTCAACAAACATCAACAAAACCACTTCGACAAGAAAGCTAACTTTGAGTAAAAATTTAAAAAAAAAAAATTCTTTTACATAATCGCAAGTTGACTCATGACACAAGTTAGTGAACTAACACTTAAGACATTTTTGTTATGTTCTGCAATTGGTATAGGATTTAATGGAGCCCAAACCAATTGTGGAATTGCACGCATTTTAGGCATCCTACTGATGAACAGTTGCGACACGTAGATATATATTTTTTAGCAACTAAGATAATTTGCAGTCTGTCTACTTTGAATTATATTTGTGAATGATAAAAATTTATCTGAAAACGGGTATACATTTTGCTTACTTTGGTCTGGAATCAGGTATAGTTTGCGAGGGAACTAAGGGAGCATATAAACGTATTTAATGTTTTAATTCCAAATCAATAAGAACGAAAAAGAAATATGCAAATTTTAAATGCACTTGAAGAATTTTTTTTGTTGGCACTCCAATGTGAGTAATGATGACATCATTTCTGCCTAATGGCCAGGTCTGAAACGGGTGTGGAAAATGGAATTTTTTTGGGTCTGAAATAGGGTCAGGATTTGGAGAACTGGGTGGCACACCCCCACCAAGAATTACCAGGGGTCCCCTGCTCCCGGTTATGAATCAAAAAGGGATGCTTGTCAGGAACCTCTTTCCCAGGGTTAAAAAATTAAAATGAAACCCATAAAGAGGACCAATATGGGAAATTAAGGAGATCATACTCCAACACAGTATGACAGCATTTTCTTTGTTTGTCTGATTTTTTGTTTTCAGTATATAGAATGTAGGTATTTCTTCACTCGACCCTAAGTGATGCCTTAGTTTAGTGGCAATATTAGCTTACCGTATTAAACAACTTAATTGAAACACAAATATGTAATTATTACCCCAAAGCAAAACCAAAAACATTAAATAGGGGACCCCTGGTTTGGGGGTGTTCCGGAGGTGTGACTGGTGTTAGAACAGGCCTGTTGACAAACCTATCTTAAATTATCGCTGTCATAGATAACTGCAAACATCAATCATTTTCCTTTCATTTTCTTTAGCTCATCCATCGGACCTTTGCCTTCCAATGCGCTTGGATAACGGAACGAGCCGCCGATCCGATCCCACAAAGTGAAGTACTGTCCATAATTATAGTTGTAATAGAGGTGATGATCTGTGTGGTGGGCAGAACCATTAATAAGAGGTTCAAACAGTCTTGGCACCCTGTAATCGCCATCGTGAATCGACACAGTCCAAATATTGACGATAACAAACAACGCGAGGTAGAGATATTTATCCAGTGGAAAAATAAAGGGATACACATGATAGGGACAGCTTTGTAGGAAACTGTCGATCGGATGGAAGGCGTGACTTGCAAACGGCGTTGGGACCTTCCAGCGATGATGAACTTTGTGAAGATACTTGTAAACTGAACGGTGATGTAGCCCTCGATGGATCCAATAAATTAATGCGTCGGTGAAGGTGAGGAAACCGATCAAGCTTAGTACGATGTCACCAAGAACCTTCGGCCATGTAGACTTGGAGAGATCGGTCATATACAAACGGCTGTAGCCGCGAACTTCAAGCACAAATAATCCAACCGTCGGCAGGCTAACAAATGGAACAGATGTCATTGTAACTGTGATTTCTTTACGGATCTGATTTTCCAGAATGAGTGGATGTTTCATGAGCTCGCGATCGTACACGAAGAAAAAACTGAACGAGGCGAATGCAAAGTACATAATCACGCCTCCGACGTTGACAACAATGAGGAGAGACAAAAATTGCCTGAGCCAGTTATCTTCGGGCCAAGATGCAGGATATACATAAGGAGTGAACAAATACAGATCAAGCGCTTCCAAAACGAGGTCCATCTTCACTTTTTCCAAAGTGTTTCGTGATGATCTCTCACTTTTGCAATACCGCACGCGAGAACTTCAAACAGGTTGCTTAATCGAGGATTGTGATTGGATAAGTCTCGTGGGCCCTCCTTCGTAGCCAATCAAATTTATTCGTTTTACTTAACAGGCAGCCTTGGATGAGTGCTTTGGTGACAAGGCACTGATGTAGAGTAGTAAAAAGAAAACAGAAATCTTAACATATTTTTTCATCCAACCAAGTGTATATAGTAGTCCATTTCAATATGAAAATACTCAAAGGATTTCTAAGGTACCACAACCTCATCTCAGGGAACAAGATAGTAAATTAATAGTCTACATGACGGACACTTGGTAAGAATACGTCCCAGACGCGGATTCGTCGAAAATTTCTGATAAGGGGTCAAGACTTTTTTACACCATTGAGACACCATTAGAACTGTTTTAAGTTAATCATTTCTAATCCATAATTTTACACTGGACTTCAATTATTCGCCATTTGTAGATCTCCCATAATACACCTTTTTTGCCCCCAAAAGTTATGCATAATTAAAATTTCTCCTGCAAAATTTTGGGGGACAAAAAGGGTGCATTATGGGAGATGTGCGACTGATGATGCAGCCTTCAGATATGAACTGTAAGTAATAACATCAAGATCAGTTTTAAACCGGTTTTGATTTACTAAACATAGCAAAAAAATTCCTAGACAGACAGCAGTTCTTTTATGTTCCTTATATAAGTGGTCCCTTGTGTTCTTCAGGGATAGTTGAACATGAGCAATGGGTGTATAGTACTCATAAAAAAATTGCCAACTGCAATCTAGCCTGCGCACAAGCTCTCCATTTGGGGGGAGTCACGAGAAGTCGCGTGAGAACAGTACGCGAAAGGAGACGGGAGTGCGAGGGGCGAGGAAAGAAAAGGAAATTCTCCTTTCCTCCGCCACTCACTCACGCGTTCTCTCGTGGCTCGCTTCGCTCACCATAAATGGAGAGCTTGCTAGCAGGTCAATTGCAATCAGGGTTGTCCAGGACCTAAAGTGATGAGTGAAAACCACCAACTAATCACAGAGGATAATCCTCTAAGTGAGACAATAAATCTATGGTATTTGTTTCTCAACTTCCGTTTCACAAAAACAAATATGAGATACAAAATAATGAAAATTATGTGAGTAAATAAAGATGCCATCCTCACAACAAAAATTCTTTCCCTGGTCTCTAATATTGTACCTTTCAGTTCTCCACCTCTCCAAATCAATATTTTCCACCCCTGCCTAACCCAATATGCAGCTGTGTCCCATAAAAGGAGCTCACCTTCAGATCTGATCTATTGTAACCTACTTCAGTTTTTCTCCTTCCACTTTACATTTTCTGGAAGAACCCTGCCGCAACCCCGCCTCTCCTTGAGTGGCGATTTTCAAGCATGCTAGCATACTTATTTACTTACTACCCTCTTATATTTCTACAGGCAAATATGAACAAATATCAACTTGTTTTGGAAACTTTACTTCTTTTCTTGAAAACCTCTAGTCTAAGGTCATGACTAACTAAAGCAAACAACAGTAGTTATCTACATTATTTACACTACAGTAAAAACCCACGAGTAAATACTTGGTTTTTAAGAACCTGTTAGACTAAAATCTGCCACTTAGACCCCCTTCTAAACAAGAACCTGTTTAGCCTAAAATTTGAAACAGATTCTTATTTTCTAAAATCTATACAAACAATTCTGGTCACTTGGGCAAATACGAAAAGTCAACATTAAGGATACTTTTGGGAGACATAGGTGCCTTTATCACTCCAACTGCTATGTAATATAACATAATAGTAAGCAGGTTTTGCGTAAGGAATGAGCTGAAAAATTCTTAATACCCTAAGGTACAAAGTATTTTTTCTTCAGATAATAAGAACCTTTTTAAGAAACTAAACAGCCTAAATTGGTGCTAATTATTACCAATTATGTAACAACCTATTTGGGCTAACTTGGGAAACACAGGTTTTTACTTGCGGGTTTTTACTGTATTAGATAGGTACGTTGTTACCCACTGTTGACCTAATTTGCTGTGAATGATCACAGCAAAGACCAGGACACATAAGCAAGACACAAAACCACAAACTAATGCTTTGCCTGCATAGCTGGCAGAATTGTTTTTGCACATGTGAGAGTTTTGGCGTGAACCCACGATTGATTTCAGAGCATCTCCTCCCCATTCTCCGCACAGCTTTGTAGTTTTTGCTTGCGCTAATGATCCCCCCAGCTATGCTGGCTATAATTTACGTTGTTTGCGGTTTAGTTTCCTTATGCCTGATTGGCTTTTTCCTTGCAACACAATAACATTGCAGAAAATATCTCTAATGTTAATATTTTTCTGAGTTTACAATAAGGGGAATGGCAACGAGTTTTGTGTTAGGAAGCCTAGCAAGATGGAGCCCAAAGCTTAATTATTTCGACAGTTAGATCCTGGTTTAATTTTGGTTTCTCCACATCTCAGTGAACAACAGTTGAAATTCTCTCAAAAGCGGACACCCTTGGGGAGAAGATCGAGTGACCAAACATGAAGAAGGCTCTTTTTGGTGACTAGTGCAACAGGGTTTTATCAGGGCAGCCACAAGTGTCGCCACTTAAGACAGTGTCCATTAAGACACCTTTAAGACTGTAGTGATGATAAATTGAAATGTGTTAATCAAGGTCTCCATGTTATGCAACATTTGAGGTTGATTCCTTCACAGGACGCAAAAAAGCTTGAATTCTAGCTTGCTCTTAAGACAAGCAGCTCTCAAATTTTGTTTGTCCTGGGAAAGTCTTCATCTACTATTTTAACAACTTAGTTGGAAGACAACTTGACTGGGCCCTTGCCCACCAAGCAAATGAGAATGCCCTTTAAAGCCCTGCTTCAACTGCAGTCCCTAATGTATTTCTAAGCCCAACTTGAAATTGTCTTCCAATCACTGCAAACAATCTGATAATTATATTGTTTGCAGTGACTGGAAGACAATTATCATAAATAATAATAAATTTTTTTAAGCAAAAAGAAAGAACACAATAATTTGATCCAGAGGAATGTGAACTAAAAACAAGTTGTCAATGTGGGTTAAATTAACCTGGCAAATCCATCGTAAGCCTAAGAAAGTTGAACCATATTAATTGATTGGGGTAAATTTTATTATATTTTTTCGGTTTTAAACTCAAATGTGTATTTGTTGTAGCAAGGTTAGTAAAACTGTGCCATTCTGTTAGAGTGATTTTACTTGAACTGTGAAACAGATACACTAACAACTAGAGAAAAATAGCAACAAGTAGTAAACAGAAGATGACAATGGAATTAGCGCATAATAGTGTCTAGTATTCTACTACATAATTATTTCATGGGTTAAGTAAAATCACTCAAAAAGTTTGAACAAAAAAAGGCAACACCATTATTTTGTGTAAGCTTTCAGTAGTGAAAATATTAAAAATGCCATAGAAATAAGCCAGATTCTCACATATACCGAGATATATTTTCAAGTTAGAAGAAATAAATTTGTGTTATCTGTATCCCAAGCGCTTCTTTTCTTTTTGTTTCTTCTTGACAACGTCTATACTTCGGTCTTTCCAAGTGCTTTTCCTTAATTTGATTGGGCGGTTGCCAATATATTTGCCTGAAAAAGAAAAAAATATATCACATCGTCATTCACTATGCTGTTTGGTACAATATGTTATTGTTATGCTTAAATTTACAATCTCAAAGTTACACTCCATGGTTAAATTGTTTATCATAATTTAGCTTTAACCCACATATAAGAACCCGCTTGATCTTGCTTGGCTAAACCAGTTCTTCTATTTTTGGGTATTAAAAGGGCAAATTTCTGCCTAGAGGTTCTTAATCTACTACGCTCTTATTCGTGGGTGTTTACCGTATGGACAGTGGGTCTACCATCTCAGATCTTACTATTGTGAATGTTTCGCTAAAACAACAGTGAAATGATATATACTGACCTATTGAATTATTGTAACAGGTCATTATTGTAAGTGATTTAATAACATTAACTTCATTTATTACATGTTCAACTATTGAAAATAATTAGATAGTTCTGTAAGTATATTTATCAATCAGGGTTTGTAAAGATTAATTTTTGGATCCAAAATTCAAGACTTTTTCTAGACTCGAGGTTATCAAATAGGTGATCAATAGAGACCTTCGCAGGAACAAAGCTTTTTTGTTGATGCCCCGCATCGTATGGATGAGACTGAATAAGATTTGACCAAAACAAAAAAAAAACTTTCAAAAAAAAATATATATATCAAGACTTTTCACTATTTTTCAAGACTTTACCTCTATTTTCCAGACTTTTTCCAAGTCTGGAAAACTGCTGGGCAAATTTGAAGACATTTTCAAGAATTCAAGACTCGCTACAAACCCTGTCAATTATTATGATGCCCTTCAAATAGCTTGTCTAGAAAAGGGATATCTTAATGTAACTGCCTGGTTTGTTCTTTGTTTTGATATCAAAGAGTAATGATCATGCATACAACAACACCATCCCAGAAGTAGCAGGCCTTGCAGGTCCCCGGATCAGGGTTGTCACTAAGATTTCAAGTTGCCGGGTAAATACAACAAGTAGGCGGGGAATCAAACGGCTAAGGATTTCTTTTGGTTCTACTTTTCTTCTGTTTTCCAATAAAGTAGCGCGGGAAAATCCCCGGCCCCCGGCTGTTAATGACAACCCTGCCGGATGGTGGCTAGTGAAATTTTCCCTTGTCTGTATTTATTATTTTTGGTGGAATAACATCGCATAAAATAATAAGACCCTCAGATCCTATATACCCTTTCACGTGTTTTTATCAAGGTTTGATAAAGACCAGTTAGGAAATACCTTTTGACACTGCTGGAAAGACCTACTTAAAGTCAGGAAACTTACCAAGTCTAATTAAATGAGATATATCCAAAGCAATTGAAGATATTCCTCGACAAATGTTTGTAAGGCAGGGGGCAGGAACTTGCCCCCCACTAAATAAAGGACTGTAACATTCTGCCACTTTGCGGAGCTGCATCATTTAGTTTTCAAAATATAACTTTCAAACTTGGCAACTTTACTGATATTGAGGCATTCTTTCTAGTCGTGAACATTTACCCATATTTTTTTTACCTTTTTTAACAAATTGTTTGTTAGCTTTTTACATTTCATAATTGTAGTTCTAGCATTCAAATTCAGTTGTAACGTAAGTTTGTCTTGTATACAAGTAATTTTTAGTTATTTCGTACATTACTAAGTCTTAGCCTTATGAGTCCCGAATTCTGAAAAACCCAATTGAGAGGATTAATAAAATTTGTATTGTATTGTGTTGTATCGTGTTGATCAACTTTTGCTAACTGGTGCCAGTAAAAAGTAAAAAACCCATGGAAGGGTCTATTAATGACGATAATTACTGTATTTTAGTTGTGATTTCAAGACAACTAAACGTTTTTTATAGTTTTAGTCCGCTTTGATCTTGTGACTTACCGTTCATTTCTCTCATAGCCTTGATAAAGTCGTTGGGATCCTTAAAACTGAGAAAACCATATCCCTTGCTTTTATTTGTCTTTTTGTCACGAACAACTTTTGCTTTCAGGAAAGATGGATACTTTGAGAAATTCCTTGTCAAAATCTCATCAGTCACTTCATTACCCAGATCACCACAAAACACTCGGAAGTCATCTGAAATAAAAGAGGAAAGTGCGAATAACGATCTTCAATTACTCTTTCACTCCAAGACCAAGTAATGGCGGGATGATGAGTCACAGTAACTTTTAAACCCAAGGACAAAATCCTATGGTGTTACCATTCAAATGAAACCTCTTCAGCAGTACTTTCACATGGTACTATTTATTTAGTATGTAGTTCTAACTTTTGATTCTGTGGATGAAATCCTATGGTGTTACCATTCAAATGAAACCTCTTCAGCAGTACTCTCACATGGTACTGTTTATTTCGTATGTAGCTCTAACTTTTGAGTCTGCGTATGGAAATCCTATAATGTTACCATTCAAAGGAAACCTCTTTGACAGAACTTTTGCACCCTACTATTTATTTTTTAGGATTATTAAAAAATTGAAATATTATTTTTTCATCATCAGGAGTGCAAGTTTTAACTTTGATTCTGCTAATAAAAAATAATTTTTTACAAAAGACACTACTGTGCATGGCCATTTTTGGGCTATATGTACAATGTACAGTGGCTGTTCACAAGCACATATATGGTAACCTCTCAGCTACAGTGTACCATCCCACATAAATCATTTAATCAGAGATCACATTTTCAAAGTTTGGGGCAGAAATACACCCCCTAAATTTCTGGTGTAAATAAGCACTAAGAAAGGCTGTAAGGCAGTCCTGATACCAAAATTTTTTCATTTTTCAGCATAAAATTAACCTCACATGACAGCCATGCCTACAACACAACGGCCAGCATTTTGCTGTCTAACACTGGAAAAATGCTCTTAAACACACTGTACATCAGAGAAAACCAGACAATGCACTTAGAAAAAAAGAAAAATTTTACAGTAAAAACCCACCAGTAAAAACCTGCATTTCGCCAAGTTAGCCTAAACAGGTTCTCTCACAAATGGTCATTAGCAAAATTTTCGGCTATTTAATTTCTTAAAAAGGTTCTTATTTTCTGAAGAAAAATAATTTGTAGCTTAGCGTATTTAGGAGTATTCAGCTCATTCTTTATGCAAACCTGCTTACCATTACATGCTTTTTATTTTTCTTGTACATAGGAGGTCTAACTGGCAAATTTTAGCCTAACAGGTTCTTAAAAACCAGGTCCTTACTCACACGATTTTACTGTATCACAGTAAACCAAAATCAGTCAGCACAAAATGAACCCCACGTAACAGCCACACCTACACAATAAACAACAGCTGGCACTTTGCTGTCCTGTTCTCTGGAAAAATGCACTTAAACACACAGAAAACTGGAAAACGCAATTAAAAAATCAGTATCAACCATCAAAAACCAGTTTTGTACCTTGTTCCCATTCTGATAATGAGCTATCCTCCCACACTGTGTCTCCAGCAACTCTTATAAACTTTTTCTCTTTGGTTTTCTTTTTTTCTTTTCCCTCAGCAGCAGCTCCACTCTGTGAATATGTTGATTCCCATTCCTTTTGCTCCTCTGCAGTCATCATTGGCATAGTGGGACCGACTGGCCCTGCCACGGGTACCCCTGGCATTGCCACAGGTACCCCTACGGGCATAGGCATTGGAACCATAGGTAGCCCAGGTGGAGCCATAACAGGGCCTACAGGAAGCCCAGGATTAGGAACCATCTGAGGTACCATGGGCTGGACCCCAGGAGGGAGGTTCATCGCGGGTGGCATTGGTGGTGTAGGTAATTGATTTGGTGGGACTTGCATGTGACGTTGTACTGGAACCTGCATGTGAGGTGGCATTTGATTCGAGAGCGGAGGTTGTAGTAAAGGAGGTGGGTGTGGAGTCTGATGTCTCGGTGTGAAATGATTATTAGGAATCTGTTGAGTGGGTAAGGGTTTGGGAGTGTTTTCGATTGCTTTGGAGGCCATGCGAAAAGTATTTGTGGCTATAACTGGCCTTGCTACTGGATGTTCCGCGATTTCCTGTTCAAACCTGTAAAGAAGATAATAATAAATTCTTAAAACATTTCACATGTCAACCACACAAACCAGCTGTAGGGAGCCACATCCCTTGTAACAATTGCAACATTATGATCTTTAACAACCATAAACAACTGAGCAATTGAACATGATGCACTAAAGAAGGCCAGAGAAATTTTTTTTTCACAACAAAATTCCAACAAAAATCTTGCTCCACTCCTCACCTGTATTTCCTTCATTATATGTTCATGTCAAATAAATTATACATTCATGAAAAAAAGCAAAAGGAGTGGGGAGGAGAGAAAGTGAATGGGAAAAATTTCCTGGGCAAAAAGGTCTTCTCCCTTTAGGGGCATTTCAGGGATAACAAAACAAATAATTTCATTAGACGGAATATGATATATTAAAGATCACACTTGACTTGTTGCCAAGGCTTGGGAATATAAAACAAAAGAAATGAATAAAATTAAATCCTGAGCCTCGATGTGATTTCATTTGTTTTATTCCCCAAGCCTCAGAGCCAAGTATGAATTTCTTATATTAAAATTGGTTTACTAACACATAACAAGTTAAAAACCTTAACAACATGAAACAAGAGGTGATCCAAACAAGTGCAGATGAGACCCCATATTGGTGTAAAGTTTTGGTATAGCAATATGGCGCCGAAAAACAACAAAAACATCTGGAGTTCACTTTTTCTGCAAAAGCTCTTTCTTTTCAGTCGAGGGCTAGCATATGTGCGCATAAACACATCTTCTAATACTTGACATGGTTAAACTGCTGAAAATCAAGAGGAGAGACTTTCTTTCAATCACACAGCATTCCTATTTCGGTGTCTCGAACTGTGAAAACTTGGAGGTACAAATAAATAATTGCTGTATTTTCGAAATGAAACATGCTATGGGACTGGAAACTTGTGGAAAGATTTATTTTTGTTTATCTTCAACCTAGTGTAAATAAGAATTCGCAAAACTTTGTTACTTTGACTTTACAATTTGATGACGTCACTGAGAAAACCATCTATAGAAATATTGATGGCTCCATAAATCGATCGACAGAACGGCTCGAAGAACTCTTGGATCTTTTGTGTATTGCTGAAAAATACATGTTGAAATTATTATTTTGCAGTCATTTGCATAGTCATGGAACTTGGTTGATTTCTTATTGTTTACATTTTAGAGTAGCACAATCATTAATTCTACATATGTATACTACAAATCAATAATTTTAAAAACTTTGATATAAAAAAGTCCCAATGCCATTTTTGTCATGAAAGGATTCATGCAAAATTATACATGTATGACAACTGCATTCTTTAATCGAAGTTTACTTAAGGAATTGTTGGAGGTCCAACACATCAGGATCAGAAAGGCGATGCACAGAAATTTTTTCGTCATTAAGTCCGCAAACCCCTTGCGAGATCGAGACGACAGTCTCATCTCATCTCGCCTTGCCAGAGGGTGGTGACTTACTTTTGAGTGGTACTTCTTAACCAGTTAGTGTTTAATAAATTTGGAAGTTAGAGTCCTGAGGACAAGATTGTGCTAGTTTGGTAGTTTTGGTAGGGTTGGAGAAAATGAAGGAAAATGACACACATTTTAGGAAAGAGAAATCGCCACACTACTGCCCACAAACATGGCAAGACAAGAAATTTGCTATTTGAAGAATATCTGCTGAATTAAAAATTCTATTTACATCCTGAATTTGCCGAGGAACAGGCAAATGAAGACTGGAACTGTTTTTGCTGATAAAGGTTAGCATGTTTTTATAGTTAAAATTATTTTGAATGAATCATAAAATAACTATTTGACTCGGCTTTCATATGATCGGAACAATTTTGGAGATATCAGTCAGTAATTCCAAAATGCCAGGAGATGATGGTCACGGCCGTAGCCAGACTTCAGAACAAGACGAGGCAAGTTTTGAGCTGCTAGTGGGGTCTGGGGGCATGCCCCCCCAGAAAATTTTGAAATCTAGAGGCTCAGAAATGCTCTTGTAAGCATTTTCCGTAGAATTTTTCTTCAGAAAAGTCAATGTTGGGCAAGTGTATTGTAGAAGTTAACTTTTTTATTGGTTAGCGAAACTGGTGCCAAGTTAATGACCATCTGCATTTTAAAGCATTCAAAATTAATGTTGTAACACATATTACAATAAAATGAATCCACGAGAGTAGCCAACGTTTATGGATTTTATACTGTAGATAATTAGGAGAAGTGTTAGGTTAACACTTTTTTTGAAGTTAGTTCTTAGATTATAAACAGAATCACGTTCACTTATCAATTACCTGTTTCGATACACTCTTGCTTATGTCCTTCAACTTTGAGACAGCCATGTCATAATATTGGCATCTCTTATACTTGTAGGACTAAGAAGTCACTAACTTTCATGATGTAGTACACTTCTCCCTTTTTAATAACAGTAAGAAAAGAGAAAGTTTCTTGCCCGTCGTTTATTCTTTACTGAAAGCTAAGGCAATCTGTCTGTGGCCAGAGGCATCCCATCTCTTTAAAACAGAACTGCTGTCAATTTCCGTTGGTTTATGAATGTATGCTAAAGCAAGCTTGTTCAGCCTCACATTAGCCATGCTCAGGGTTGTCACTAAGATTTCAAGTTGCCGGGTAAATACAACAAGTAGGCGGCGAATCAAACGGCTAGGGATTTCTTTTGGTTCTATTTTTCTTCTGTTTTCCAATAAAAGTAGCCCAAGGCCACTCTCTTAGTAGCCGGGTAAAATCCCCGGCTGCCGGCTCTTGATGACAACCCTGCATGCTTGTTTGGGACCAGGTTTTAAGCCTTCTCAGTGAGCTGAAGTTTCTTTAAAAAAAGGCCAAAAACAAGACAAGGCAACTGCCTCGTCTTCCCTCATGCTAGCTGCAGCCCTGATGGTCTGTCACAGGATTCAGACCACAAAAAGGCCCTACCATGACTACCAGAAACAGGTCTGTCATCTGCTCATTCCAAAAAAATCTCACAGCATACAATTCCAAGTTACAAAATAAAAAGTATTATTTTGTCACTAGAAGTGCATCATATACACTGAGAATACTTTCTAATAAGCTGGACCAGGACTCATTTGGTTAGCATGTGATATAACTGCCAACGTTTTCTGACATATAAGCATGAGATTTTTATCCTGGGAGTACTGGGATTTTTGAAGACGACACGATCATTTCCGAAGATTCCTGAAGAGGTCCGAAGTCTTCCAAAGACGTCCAAAGTCTGCCGAAGGCGAGCTCGCTCCCAGTGCTTTTCACTTCAAAAATCAAGATCGCGAGGAACATATTGTCATTTATTCATTTTACACATGGTTTTCGTTCCTTACATGGGTCTGAGTTAACATATTTTTGGAAATTGTGTCAAGCAAGACGGCAACAACTCACATTTTTCAATCAGGCATGAGAAATTGGTGAGCGTGAGCCGGCGTGAGATTGAAGTTTTCAACCCGCAGGCGTGAGAGTTGGCAAGTATAATGTGATCAGGTGATTCAGGTCAACCTTACTCCACTACAGACACTACAGAACTATAGCCTGCTAGCAAGTCTTGAGAGGAACCCTGAGAGAGTGTTCGCAAACTACATAGCTAAAGTCCAAGAGGATTACTCCAGATTTCAAGTGACCAAGAAGATCAATCAGCTACGGGAAGAAATCAAAACCAAACGTAATCCCCACAGCTTCCAACAAAAACCCACTAAAATCCCTGGACCAAAAATCAACTCCCCAACCCCCAAAAAATCCATGCTGGAAGAAGAATTATGCAGGTCTTGGCCTCCTTTAGCTGCATAATTCTTCATATCATATTCAGCATAATTCAGAAACAAATAATTAGTAAAAATGTGCCACAATCTACATTCCAACGGCAACAACTGAATCACTCGCACCGGTAAACAAACTTACCGTGACATTTCGGCTTCCAATTCATTTCGCCGTGTCTGTTCCTCAGCATCAGCCATTGTTAAAATATTAACACTCCCAGAAAACCTTGGGGTAATCAATTAACTTTGTATATCTTAAACTCCTTTATGTAGCCCTACTTTCACCACTAGAAAAACTACAATCACTTTTTGCTTTTCGTTCACTGCACGTTGAGCTTAGTAACCAAGCTCTGATTGCCATCATCGGTATCCGGGATCCTTGTTCCCAGACCACTTGAGAAGAGTCTATTTTCCGGGAATTTGGTTGCCCCGGAATTGTAAACTTTGCCGAGGAATAAATTTTGTAAGTCAATTGCAATTCAAAAGTAACTGACTCTAGCTTATTCGTTTCTGCGTTATATGTGCCCAAAGCTTAAATTATGTTTGACATAGGTTATGATGTTGCCATGGTAACTTGAAAATGGCCAAAAGAGATCACCGTTCATCTCCGATGGTAATTGCTTCAAAACTGAACCAGTAATGGGGCATTTGTTTGATTCTGTTATCAAAGGGTCAAGCAAAAAAGTAGTTGTGCCATAAGTCCATCAACTTTGAATTTCAAAAAATTTTGGAAACTGTTGCGTGCCAACTTTTCAATGTGGTCCGAAGGTAGGAGCCGATCACTGAACCAATCAGGAAATGAGCAAAAAGTAAGCCCTTAATTGACCGCGCATACAGATGCGTTGTTGCTGTGATTTTATGAAGTGTGGGGCTCCAACAAATCCGTAATGATTCATGCTTCACGGAAAAACGGGCAATAAAAAACCTGCAACCTATTTTGCAACATTGCTGCAAAACGCGTTGAAAAGCCACGTTGCGCGTTTTACCACCCACATAAAACCTGTTTTGCAACAAATGCCCGGGTTGCTCGAAGCAAGGTTAGTGCTAACCAGCGTTAAATACCATGGAAACCTATACATTTTGATACCTCTTAACCAACGGTTAGCGCTAACCAGGCTTCGAGCAGGTTGTTAACAGGTGTGAACATGGGTAGTAAAACGTGCAACTTCGCTATTCAACTCGTTTTGTCAATTGTTGCAAAACAAGTTGCACGTTTTTTATTTGTCACCGCAGCCTGAGAAAACAGCCGACATTTGATGACGCTGCCACTGGTTTCCCCGCCAAATGACGTCTGAGAAACGTACGCAGAAATTCCATGCTGATGACGCGTCTCTACCCAGATCTGGGTAGTGACGGTCGTCAACCATTCAGTATGGAACGCTTTCTCAGTATGTTTTCGCGCTCGTTTCTCAGACGTCATTTGCCGGGGAAACTAGTGGTAGCGTCGCCAAATGTCGGCTGTTTTCCCAGGCTATTTTTGTTGCCCATTTTTCCGTCAGGCTCCGAGATACAATCGAACCTCCATGGACGACCAGCTCTTGTAAGCGACCGCCAATGCAAAATACCAAAATTTTCCCAGTCAAAGCCTTACAATTGGAACCTCTAGTAAACGACCATGGGATCTCCTGTAAGCGACCGCTACCACTTTTTGGGCCTGACGGTTAATGATTTCCATTGTTTTTTTACCTCCTTGTATGCGAACACTTGACGCATTCTCTGATCACTATTTTCGCTGTGTGCCGTTACTTAGAATATAAGAAGACCTTAAGTGACAACATGGAACTACACATATCGTAACTTAGGCATTGCATGCAATAAATTATCTTCCATAAAGTAGATGTGCCTGGACCTCTCCTCGGAAGAGACCCCCTGTGGTTCGATTCTTGTAAAAGACCTCCTCCCATAAGCGACCACTCAGTATTTGCCATTTGGGTGGTCGCTTACGGAGGTTCGACTGTAGTCGGGTCCGTGAAAGGATCTGCGAAATCAAGAAAACGCTAACACGAAAATAAGACGGGAGGAAACTGAGGAGAGGAAGACCGCTCCTGTCTTTCTTTTTTGGGAGACAATCTGTACCACAGGCGAGCAGCTACGAAAGAGACTAGCATTGAAGGCATTTAAAATGGAAAGGGGATAAGCGGGCGAGCGATTGCCTTGTAGGTTTCTTGAACTCACTCGTGGCGCGCGCTGCGGTAGTCAGGAGCCTCTGCCTTTTTGAAACTTTCCCATGATCCTTCCCGTTGGACACCAAAAATCTCCATGACCCCCAACCTCGTCCCCAGGGTCTTCTCGTTTTCCAACGGCGGCAACGACGGCGGCATATTGGAAAACGAGAAAACCCTGGGGACGAGGTTGCCATGACCCCATGCGCCGCAAAAATTCCGAAAAGCCCCTTTCTCGAGTTAACCTTTACGGCAATTTTACACAAGTTTAATTGGGATACATTCTGCAAACCTTCCCCTAAGTCTTTACCACCAGAAATACTGAAGACGTTTTGGTGGTCAAGACGCATTTCAATATTAAGTGTTTTTTTCTCGAAATAGATTGATTCTACTAAACTAGCCAGCCTGCTTGTCTTCAACACAAAGGTCTTTATTTCGCAGAGGGCAGCTGATGTAGGAGATTATCAAATCGTTTTTTTTTTACTATCAAACTTTCAAAACTTACAATTTACAAAAGAACTCTCTAAATCTTTCAGTACAGAGGCTTCCTAGTTTAACAATTACAAAGCAACTGAATTAAAATACTTTACGCGAGAGGTAACGCGGAAAAACAGAGCAACATGGGTAAAATTTGACATGTTCACCCGGACTAAGTCCTTCTATTTGTCAAAACTAAATAAAGATTTTGAAAAAAAAAATATCCGGGAAATCTTTACTTTTGTTGCTCGAATCCTTCCCCAAGACCACTGAATGTAAAGTAAATTTTTTCATGTTTCTTTTATATCAATAACACATCTCACTATAGTTTTCCCTTGATGAGGTAATGTTTCCTTCAAAAGTAACAAGTGTTATCACGATCATTAAAACATCAAGGGAACATTAAAATGAGTTTTGAACTTTAATACGATTTTCTTCTTGCTGTTTTAAAAGACGTCCTCGTACAAAAATAATATCTAAATTAAGTCTTGATTGAGTACAAATACGGTTTGAGGGTTTTGGTCGTTTATGACTGGCTGTTCTGTTACTATTAAAAGAAAAAATTTTGCAGGATCCCCAAATCAAGGAAACAATTTTTTTGTTTGAAAAAGTAACATTTCCTGCAACCAGTGAAAGAACGACAGCCATAAAAGTGAAGCAACTACTAACAACTTTTTCCAGTCAGCAATCGTAGTCACATAACATATCTTGCATGTAGGCGTAGACTACAAAGGCAATATACATGAGGAAAAACGAGCTACCAATTAGCCTGTTGAGTCTAAAATGCGAGGCGGCAAAAATCCCCAGTGCGATTAGAAGAATCAGCAGCAAAATAAAACCAAATTTTACATGTGGTACCATTACAATATCCCCTGAGAGGAACATATCCTGAAAACAAATAAAAACAGGTATATATAAACAAGGGCGTGGGCCAAGATGTTTACGACCCTCTTTCCTTCAAAACCCCCAAGATTTACTTACTCAAGCCTTTTTTTACTATACACTATTTCAATTAAATTTTAGTCTTACATTTCAAGCCAATGCCCCTTTGTCACTTTCGTCGCATTATGTTAACTAAATCCTTCTACTAATCAGGTAGAGATTGCGAGTAAAGGGCTGTTATAGTAGGAAATCCGAAAAGCAGTCCCCGCTCCCCTCCCACCCCACACCGCTTAGCGCGAATGTTACCTGTATTTAGAGTGCGTGCTGATTCTTGTCCCTCAGTTGCTGCAGAGCATAACATATTTTGGTGAAAACACAAATTCAAATACCCACCTCTTCCTCTTTCGAGAGCAAATGTATAGCTTCAAAGTTATCAATCAAGCCTCTGATGACAAATGGTAGCCCAATGCCAAGATTTATATCAAACACATTTGAACCAATGGCGTTTGACACGGCCATGTCTCCAAATCCATCACGAGCAACAAGGATGGAACTCAGAGCGTCCTAAATAAAATATAGAACAAGGCACACCAGATGAGATCGTGTCAAAGCGACCAGAGTCAGTCAAAGAAAATGCCTGCAAAAAATGTTTCACTGTTATTTGGTGCTTTAACCTCTTTACTTGGGCCCTGTCATTCCTTGGTTTATGGCTAAATTTCAGCCAGGAACAACAACAACATCTTTATTTCTTACATTAAATATACAAATATCACACCACCTGCAAATAGCAAGGCTAATCGAGGCAGGTGGGGTGTAGACGGCTTAAGATTTATTACGAATAGTTGAAGTGAAAAAGTACCATATTTATAATAATAAAAAAAAGGTCAGTCACGAGAGAAATTGAGATAAGAAAATTGAGGCAGCTATTTAGATAAGCGGAGGCTAATATTTTTTAAAATCGGAGATTATCGTGTTTAGGTCAGCATATCTATCCTGAACTTCAAATATTTTCAACAGAATTGTATGAACTTTTTTCTTAAAGAGAGATTTTGAAGAATTTCGTAAATTTTCAGGTATACTATTCCAAATTTTGGCTCCCATAATAGAAAACGAATCATTTTTCTGATTTAGTCTAGAGTGGCTAATGTAATAATTTCCAGAAGAGGAGGAGCGAGTGCTGTAAGAGTGGATTTGTTGAGTAGGAATAAAGAGATGTGAAATATTATGAGGGGCAGTGTTATTGTAAACATCAAACATTAACATCGAAGAAAGCTTAAAATAGAGCATTGTAATAGGCATAATATTAGAGTGAAGAAAGTAAGGGACGGCATGAGAGCGGAAAGGTGCGAAGTTAATAATAAATTCTAAAGTAAATTTTAAAGTTAAAAAATCCATTTGCCGTAACATATTTTTAGCTGACAATCTGATTTTCAGACAATCGAAATGACCAGTTAAAATTGACTTGAGAGCACCAACGCTTTGAACAAGACAAACGGAAACCTTGATGACTACATAGCTGCGTCCATCCCCTCCCCGGGCAATTGCGAGGAGACTTGGGCGCCTTTTAAGTCCCGGGGGTTGGCATTTGCAAATTAAGTGCTGGTGTGGCTCAGTGGTAGGGTATTTGGCTAACCCGGCTTAGTAGGGCTTAATAAGCGAATAACAAGGCGTCATAAATTTCGAGTGATTACAATTTTACGGGTACATTGTCCAGCTCAGTGGCCTGTTTAAATAGTTACTATGTATCAAAAACTAACCGGAACACTGGTACCAATAGCAATGACCACCAAACCCATGGTAAACTTGTCCACGCTGAGAATACATCCTGACCGTCCAACCAAGGTGACCATGCCAAAGCTTAAGATCGCTATCCAAACGATGGACATGATGAAGGAAGCGAGGAAGTACTTTCGGTTATGTGGCTTACTACAATCTGGAATGGTCCAAGTGAACGCACAAAGGAATGGAAAGCTTATCAGGAACAAGATCCAGCCCAAAACGTACTTAAACGCTGCCCAACAGCCTCCATCCTCGGGAAACTCTGGATAATCGGCAGATACCGCAGGTAAACAAGGGCAAGGCTTCATGGTTTGTTCCCCCTGTTTCTCGTCTACTTCATCGATCCCAGAGGTAGTTTTATCATCATCCAAAGGCACCGTATGCGTGTTGCCGTTGGAGTCAACGTGGACAACAGCGACCGTAGGCTGTTGCTGTTGGATCATATCTGACCGTCGCTTGTACTCCTTTAGAACCTGTTGCTGTGCCACGGATTTGAGTCTAATTCCTTCTATATGGCCATGGAATCCAACTGAGCTCCTTCGATGTGCCTTAGGGTCGTCATAAAGATCTCTTAGACCCGGAAACGACATTGACAATCGAGGCTTGACAGAAGGCGGTACAGACCGATGATGGCTGTGCCCCAAGGATAGATTAATCTGTGATTGAAAACAGGATCGATCGAAAAGTAGAGACAGGAAGGTATTAAAAAGATCATAAACAGGTCGAACTACTGAACGTGTCAAATGCAAAATTCCCTGATATTGTGTAGTTCGTTTCTTACGCTGAAATAAACGCTTATGTGCAAAATGAATAGAGTCGAAGACATCGACAACAAGGAAGAGTAGAAAAAGTTTCCAGCTTGTGTTCCATCCCGAATTTTGTCTCTTTGTAGTTTGAAGTTTATTTTTGTCGATCGATTGAAAGAGGAGGAATTTTTTTTGCCTTCACAAACAAGGAAACTTGAGTACTTGCTTCACCTACACAAACAGACAAACTAGAATACTTGCTGCCTCTTTATTCAAATAATTTGACTAGTAAACCTTTTATTGCTAATAGATATTTCGAGCCTTCTTATATAAAGCAAAAAAGAAAAAACAATTGCTAACTATCTACGCTTCCTGTCTCTACTGACGAGCCGCCTTCAGTTTCCAGTGATAACAGTATCCCTGAAACACAACTGACGCCCATTCCTCCTGTCTGCCTCGACTGCTTACGACTACCTAACAAATGTAAATTATTATCTGTGACATTGTTATAATATAATCTGAATCTAGAAAAAAAAAAAGCAAACATACAAAGTTTCTCTCTCTCTCTCTGGCTAAGTACATATAGTTGATGTTGAGCCGCCAAACAAAGATGTTGAAATAGATTTTTGAATCAAAGTGCAAGTCACCTTTTTCCAAGGACTAACTTCCTTTAAACAAACTAACCATGGCTACTATTCAAAACAACGATTCCGCGTAACAGAATTATTGTGAAAAAGATAGCTTTCCTTCCCACGGGATGTATGCCAGCGTCGGGGACGCGGGACGCAGAGGTAACAAAATCACTGAAACGTTGACTTGCTCATGGTGACCCTTCTTCCCGGGACAACTTTTCTTCATGTAAACGGGGCCTAGGTCTTCCCGCACTTCACAGCGAGTATTAAGCAGTTCAGTGACTAAGGTTACTCCATCAGCGTGCTAACAGTTGCATCTTTTTTCAACACACAAAAGAAACGACAAACAAAGTTTCTTCACTTACAAATGACCTAGAAAGTTGTCCTTTGTTAGCGTGAGAGAATCTGCCTTTGGTGTGACTAGAGCCGGTTGTTAAGAATTGGTTAGCTTGGTCTCCCTCTGCTAAGTTACTTTCCTATAAGTTGAAACAACAACAAGAAATTTGTTTAACAGAAAACATGTACTAATTGACACGAGTAAAAAGTGCATATCTAGATTCATCAAATGGAACAAGACGGGACACTAAACTTCCATAGATTTCACAACCGCTTGTGGAACAAACGTCACAGTCTGGTTGAACAGCAGATGAGACTGATATGAAGTCTTTTGTATCTGAACCTTGCAGACCACGATGGACCAGTGTTATCTTTCTCAAAATGAACAGCAGGAATAATCTGGTGCGTACTCATTTGAAGCGTTCTCTGGATAAAAAAGTGTTTTGAAATCAATCGAGCTTTCAACAAGTCGTGCTGTCGTTTTCACCTTAGGGTAAAAGACTTTTTTTCGCTGTCTTTTTTGTGAAGCAGAAAGAGGGATTTCTTCAGAGGTTTCTAAAAGTGTACTTACCACAGATTTTATGGGAGGTAATTTCCCGGCTGGTGTTCCCTGGCGACCGTGAAGCACACCAGCTGAAGACGTTTGGGAATTTTGGTCAGCCTGAATCTCAATTTCACTGCTCGTAAATTGCGTCACTTCTGTTTGCTGAGCCGGGCTAACCTGTCCTCCCTTGTGCCTAAAAACAAAAGAGGCGCAATGAAGGTATAGGATGAGGACGCATGGAGTGTAAACAGCTTTATCCATCAAGCGCGTTCTTGCAGCAGCGGCACCCAACTACTGTTTTCTGTAAAATGCCTGTGCTGAGAAGCAAGTATTGATTAGAATCTTCTATTACTTGAGAACGGCTGAAAATTTCTCGAGGACCTTTCCATTCATGTACAATTTTCGAAGCTTATCTAATAAATTCCCTACTAGGGCGATTTTCTGAAGTTTAATTTTTCATATTTTACTACCTAGGTTACGCTCATTTTTATTAGAAAAAGGAAACCTAACATTTTCGGATTCTAAAATGTGATGGAGAGAGGAACTGGCAGAAAAATTCTCTCTTTCGTAATACATTACATGTAAATTGCATCTAAAAGTTTCGGGAAAATGATACTGAAACCCTTGTGATTTCGAAAAAACTAAAGTTCCCTAGAATGACCGAACAGGTGCAAATTTTATAGCGCTGCCTAGAATGCATATCTAGGGATCTAAAAGTACTCTGGATAACCTAAAAAGTGTTTTCAATGTATTTAGGTGGAAGCCGTCGTTGGGTGCCCCTGTTGCAGTTAATAGTCTAGTTGGCAAGAACATAGCAGGAATAGAAAGTAAAAGAAACCAATGAACTTCATTTTGTTTGAACTTGGTTACTGAAGGAAAATCAATGGTTTGACTTGTAGTACGAGTTTAACTGTTACTTGTATGTTGAAGAAAGTGAGTGATTTAGTTATATTTAAAGACTACGTGTGACGTCTGTCTTATAATCATTAATAGGGAGCTTAAGCAAAGACGTTTTTGAGCGACGCACGTCAACCGGAAGTGAGGCCTTTTCCCTTTTTATACGCCTGGACACTACCAAATTTGTATTGCTGAGTTTCTTTTCTCCCATAAAGACGATTTACGTGAGGGTTTCAACCAAACCACAGCCCAACGCTGCAAAAAGTCCACTTCCGGTTGACGTCCGTCGCTCAAAAACGCTGTTGCTTAAGCTCCCTAATATTTAAAGGTGAAATACTCTCAAATTTTAAAACTAGCTCGGTTTGTTACTAGTTTCTCTAGAACAGACCTTCAAATGTTAGCTTTCAATTTAACTCTTTTTAATCACTATCATACGATATCTTGTATAAATTCAAAGTGGGGAAGAGCTCATCGAAGCTTATTTAACAGAGTGAAATAAGATAGGGAAATAATATTGAACTAAGATGTACTAACAGTGTGTAAGGATTCAGCGGAAGCTCCTCATCTCTTGAGATAACTCTGCTCCATGACCGATAAGATATAAAACCGTAGAAGTTAATGGAAAGAAAAATGTTTGTGAACAGGTGGAGTTTAAAAAGAAGTTTAAAGAACAACGTTTATTGTTTCAGGGGCACCCATTGAGAGTATAGTTGAAAACCACTTAAACATAGCATTACTTAAGATATTTTAGTATTTAAACGGTAGATATGGGCATATTTTTATCTCCTTAAAATTTTTCATCTGTTCGGATTTCCTAGCTGAAAGCCTAATGATCCGAAAATTATAGGGATCAAAACTTACCTTTTCGAAAATTTCAGCCAGAAAAAAGGCTCGCGAAAATTCTAGGCGACCTTTTTAGGGTAAAAATCCGTTAAAAATGGGCAATTATACCATTTTTTAGATGTTCGAAAATCATAGAAGAGGCAGGCAAGCAAGAAATTTTACAACAAATGTTCCGAAAATTCTAGATCTCCAATCGTCTCCCGAACAGATATTTTCCGAAAATTGATGTTGGGTGCCCCTGTTGTTTGCTGCGCGACTACTATAAACTTTCACGCCCAATCATTTAGTCTCTGTTATCTCTATTATTTTTTTATTCCGGCTTATAATTTAGTCAATGAATTAAATTGACTGGCAGATCTGGATCTTGATTTGACCTTAACAACTATTCTCAAATTTAACAGTTATTTGATCATAAAAAAAATTGGTATTGCAAAATACGTTAATTTACAGGATGAAGTAAAAGATTTAAAACGGAAGGCGCGTTAAGCCGGTTAATTATTTTGATTGTTCAGCTGAGTTAACAAGTCATATTTGATCACAAAGCGAAATATTAGTCAACAAAAGAAAAGGTTGAAAGGAAATAAACTAAAAAAAACTGGAAAATTAAATCCAGCCCTCTCTTTAAGACGAACACCGTCCTAAAACGAACACCGTGAGTTGATCTCTGTCGCCCTGTAAGGTGGACACGTCGCTATATCATAAACAAGTTATCACCTCCAATGGTATTCGTCTTTACCAGAGAGTAGACTGGGACAAAATTGCTCAAAGGTTCTTAAGCAAAACAAAGCTTTAGCATGAGAGGAAGAAAACTGCAATTTACTTACTTTGTACCAGCCATAAGATTCATTAACTTGGTGTTGAACTTCATCAGAATAATGTAAAGAAGGTAAAGGACTAGAAGAATTACAGACTCGTAAAGCTCAAACTTGCCATCCCACGCGAACCACGAGAAAACACCTATTGACAAGGCATAGCAGAAAGAGTCTCTCATTAGCGGTCTCCAGTCCAACTGCAGAACCTAGGGGAGGAATGAAAATTCAACATCTCTCAGCTTGGCGAAATCAAAATTTTCTTTGCGGGGACAAAATGGACAATCTCTGGCTGCCTATCTAGTGACCCTTTCAAGTAGCCAATCAGAATACATGTTTCGCTTTATGATACTCGCAAACGGGACCTACCATAAAATAATACTAACAATGAAAATTATAATGATAATAAATAGGCCGATTTAGCAACAGAACGGGAACGTCATTTGACGACCGGAAAGCGCGCGGAAAGGACTAAATTCGACTTCCGGTGCGCAATTTGCAGCTCTGCCATCGGTCAAGCCAGTTGTTTGATTTGCGCGCGCAGTCGTCAACTGACGTTCCCGTTCTGTTGCTAAATCAGCCTATTAATAATAATAAACGCAAAACCTCACCCAGCGATGAGTTATAATCTTTAACATAATCCGGCAAAGGTTTTAGAAACACGGCGGAGCGAAAAGGTTACCGATCCCATTAAATTATTCCATGAGGCCTGAGAGTGTCATCCTCGGAGACCCAGGGGCAGATAGTGGGTGCGAGGGAAAGTCTAAACGGGTGGAAAAATATGGCACAAAGAAGAAAAGTAAAGAACGGCGAGTAGAGCCCCTGGGGACATTGTCTTACCAGACCAGTTCCAAACGGTCGCCGCCGTTCTGGCTTCTGATTGGGCAGAAAAACACAAAAGTTTTCTGGCACCAATCAGAAGCTAGGACGGCGGCGACCGTTTGGAACTGGCCTGGTAAGACATTGTCCCTAGGGGCTCTGCTCGCCGTTCTTTACTTTTCTTCGTGCTATATTTTCCCGCCCGTTTAGACTTTCCCTCGCCCCCACTATCTGCCCCTGGGTCTCCGAGGATGTGAGAGTGTAAGAAACGATATGAAAAAGAGTTTCTCTAAATGAGATAACCATTACATTGGAAGACGTGTGTTCTGTTTGTGCTAAACACATTACCGTTCACCGGAGCCCGAAAAAGGTTCTTTTTTCTTAAGCAATTTCATAACGCGTTATTCTTCTTGAGCTCAAAATTTTCCGGGGCTAATTTTCGCTTCTTCATTTTCTGATCGTGAATACAAATTAAAGGTGAAGCTTTGCTCTAGCTGATGTCGCACATTGTGTCAAAAAATATCAATGAAGATATGTCAAAACTCTTAAAACACAACAAATTGCACAAGAGGATACCCTTCTTTGCTTCATTACTATGGTGTTTACGAGAAAATATTTTGCTCCTAACAAAGGCATTTTCTGGGTTTCCGTAGGCGAACAAGCAACCAAAGCATATCGCATACTTGTTTAGGACAATGATCCGACCCTTATAACGAAAATCATCTTATTTGTTACTTAACTGTTAGGCACGTAGCTGAGCGAAATTTTAATTATCATATAATTTACTGATAGATTAAATAACAATAGCTGCTGCCATCTATCTTGCAACGTCAAGTGTTGTGTCAAATTAAAATCAGTCACCAGGACTTCACTGTCTGTTTGTAGCAACCGATTTGCTTTATACTCAATGGGGACTTGGCGATCTCCGTTATCGTTTATAAAGGGATCCTTGGCAAGTTTGGAGAAATAATATGAGTAATGAAAAAACAGACTTTTATTCACGTTCAATTAACTTAAAATGTTGTATCCTCACCAGTGCGGCAATTTCGTTGACCATAAGCCCTTATTTATTCTTGATGACAGTCAGAGTCATCTGAGCTCATTTTTGGGTTTGGCTGCAGGTGTTTAATAAAACACTGTTGAAGCTAGACTTGGTTTGTTGTCGTGAATGTTCCTCTTGCAAGCATTGTTATAATCGCGCTTTGTACAAGGTTAGTAACCTGGTATCAGCAGTTTTTTTAGTTTAATTATCGTGCCCAAGCAAAAAAAAGTCATGGATAAAGTACCTAAAAGTACCTCAAAGTGTATAGAGTTATTTCCTTCTTGTGCCAATGCGATAACATAACAGGGAAATAATAATTTCCATTTAATAGAACATTCAGTCTTTTTATAAGAACATTTTTTTTAAGTTAGCTGAACTCGGTAAAATGCATAACTTCGTGAATTCTGCGCCTTTTGTATTGTTTGAGTCATGTTGTTTGAAATTTGAATGACGATTCAAACAGCAGAACTTTTTATTGCGCCCAACTCAGTTAGTAGCTGAACACAAAGAAAATTTCAACGCACAGTCTAAAACGCCAAATAACATTGTTTAAAATAACTAGAGAACCCTTTAGAATATTTTGAATTCAACAGAAATCCTTCTTTGCGAATTAACCAAGAGGTAAAAAAAGATTCTCGTTGTTTTGTTTTTTCCTTTGCGTCAAATTTTTCCGGTTCTGTACCACGTTAAAAATTTGCTGACCCTTATTCAAACGCATCGAAAATGAAACGGCTTTATATTTACCGAACTAGTGGCAAAAAATTATTTTTGATATAATTAAGATGTATTGACAGTATAGTTAGCCGGGTTTAACGTAAAGATAAAGGAATAAACCAATCGTATTCAATAGCATCTTATCACAGAGAAAATGTGTTTCCTAGCTGCAGGATTCTATGTTGGTTCACCGTTTGGCAGGGAATCGCGCTACTGTCGCCAGATTTTGAAAGAAATACGTTCTTAACCTCTCCTTGTGAACGTCCCTTTATTACGGACAGTTCTCTTGGTTCCATACAAGGTTTCAAACCTGATACAATTTCTATTTCCATAATACGCGTATTAGGGAAAAAGGTCAACTCTGTATTGGGGACACCTGGATTTGTCCCTCGGGTGTCCGTAAATTTGCAGTTTCACTGTGCTAAATGTGGTTGCTTTATTCACTTTTTTTTTCCATTCGGTTTCACTTTCTGATTTTTAAACTTAAAAGCCACTGGAATTTATACTGTGTTAGCATGGTTAACATTTTAGCGAATGGGCATCCGATACGCTCCGTATTGTAGTAATCATTGTAAATTTGCAACAATGAAATCATATTTTGGTTGTTAAATTCTGTATATTATGTTCCAAGTAATTGCTAGAATGATTGAAGTATTTTTGGTAAAAAAAAAAAAAAATTCATAAAGGTTGGGTGGGTTTGCAATAACAGTTTTTGTTACTCGCACCGGCTACGATAACGAAAAAAAAAGCAATAAAAAAATAATGAAATTGAAAATATTTTTCCTTCTACTGTTTTTTAAATAGATTTCAAGAATGAAAAAGGACAGTATATAGATTTGGCCAAACCTAAACTTTTTTTGGAGGTGTCGTCCTTGGACACATGCAAACAAACAAACACATTATTTACTAAAAAACGGTACCCAAAGACGTGTTTCTGCACACTTTGAGAAATCGTCAACTTGAATTTGACGTTTGTCGTCGTTTGCCACCGTGATTCTATATGTCTCCAATAAATAAGACTGACGTACCTTTCCAGCCAAAGCCGCAGTAAGGGCAATAATTACAAGCAGGTTGAATACTGCACTCCTGCAGAGACAAAAAGAAGGAAACCCAACTCAATATAGCCACCTGTGGCTGTTTACCTGCACTTTACAGTAGCATAACTAAAGTATATAGATTTAGCCAAAGCTAAAAGCGAAGCTCCCGTTTATGCATTTTAAATTTACTTCATACAATGGACTTTAAATGTCGTAAATCACTGCAAAGAAATCCACAAATCTATACTTAACTTTAGGAGAGAACCATATGACTGAAAAACAAAAACTTGAGCCTGCGATCAATTAAAAGCTAACAACTAGTCAGTAGAAAACTTCAAAAAACACGTGACCTGAGTTGGCCCCTGAGCCTGCGATACGGTCATGTGACGCTGGTCAGCGGCTACCCTGTTTTGACAGCTGTCAATTGACCATAGTATGAATGTCTCTTATCAAGTTAAACACAGGCTACAGGCTCCCACACCAGCTAGAAAGATTGACATTTCACATTGGTTTCCCTGTGGTGCAGACGGACAGGAGCACGTACGTTATTATACCAAAATTTCTCGGATGGATAGATTACCAGATTTTCTTAGGCATGGGGCTCCGCTCGCGCTCGCTTCGCGCGCACGTGGAGCTTCGCTATCAATGTTTCCCAAGCAAACAAGAAACCGACCTAAGGAGAGGGCTTCGTCCGAAATAGGTACCTTGTTCCGAGCCATGCTAGAGGTCTATAGATTTCAAGATTAGTATTATTAAAAGCTTAGCAACTTACTCAAGGTTAGCTCTGTTTATTCAGGGATTTCAAGAGACAATTCATTAATACCGATAAATCATTACAGAGGAAGTACTCTTTCTATGTGATAATACAGTTCAACCCCCACTAAGCGGCCAGTAATTAAGGGACCGTTCATTTTTTATGGGTTAGGGGGGGCTGGTGGGATTTGGAGGAGTGTAATTTGAAAATTGTATGACCCCCCCCTAATTTCCGATTTTTTTTGCATGCCCCCCATCATCAGAGTAATTTTTGGAAGGCCCCCCATGAATAAAAAAATACATAAGGTATTAAAAAAGTTACTGCATTAAAATTTAGTTTTGTTACATTTCACGTAATTTAGTGAAAGAAAGCTGAAAGCTAGAAAGCTGTTTTTAACAAATCCTCACTCAAAGGAATGAAAAGTCAATTTCAGCTCTTCTTGTTACTGCTCGTCCTGAGCGTGTTGTAGCTGGCCGCTCGTCTACATATTCCTCGTTTGAGGCGATAAAAGCAAGAACGAAACCTAGTGATGGACGGAGACTGAACTACGTTATAAAAGAACACAGAGAGGCTGTTGAGAAACTGAAAGGGCAGTTAAAAATTCTGAGTGATCATGACTCCACGCTCTTCCAGGCGAATGGCATTACCCTGAAGCCTGACAAGAAATTCCACCATGACTTCAATGTGCAGCACATCGCTAGGATTGAGGCAAAGCAGCTCAAGGTTTCGGGGGAATTAGAAAACCTCGAAAAAAAGAAGGAGACCTTTGACCAGGTCTTCAAGGGCTTAACTGGACACTATGTGTCAAAAAAAAAGAAAATTAAAACAAAACCGTAGGAAATCAAAGGGCAGAAAACGCAAACGGTTTGAAAACAACGTCCTACGCGTGTATAATATCTGCGTTGCAAATCCTCTTGCAAAAGAGCTTTCCAATTGTCTTCTTTATCCTCCCTCCATGACAATTCCGGAAGCGTGCATAAACGTTGAAGATGTAGCAGCATTGTTGCTAACACGGGATGCAGCATTCATCGCTCACCTACTGCAATCAAGCTACTTCAGCAACGCGGCACAAAGCAGGCTTATTACCAACCTTAAGCCAGAAGTAAGAAACAGGATGTATTGCTTCCTGCATCCTGAAGATTATAGCTCAAACGTCGGAGACACGAACAAAGAGGAAGAAGAAAACGACGAAGAAGAAGAAGAAAACAACGAAGAAGAACAGGAGGAAGAAGAAGAGGAACACAGCGACGACGAGATCGAAGAGAACGTCGAAAATGAGGAAGGAGACACCTCGTAGTAGTTTCATGCCCCTCCCATTAAATTTCCCAGAGAAAAGCTCTGGTAACGAGGTCAGTTCCAATTCAGGACTCAAATTATTGGTTTTAATTATATGAGCTTGACAACAACATTTTTATGAATGAAAAGAAAGTTGTTGCTATTCAAGACTGTTATTATGGTATGTTCACTGTCCTTATAAAATATAAAAGCTGTTGAGAAGTTTTCTTGTTACCCTGGAACTGTTTTAGCATATTTGTTATAAATAAAAGAGCACAATTTTTCTTCGATTTGTAAACATCTCTTATCCTATTTTTAATCTAATTTTTTCGTCCGACGCCCCCCCTTCCTTCATTTTTGTTCGGTTGGCCCCCCCTTTCAAGCCAATTTTTTTCGAGTGCCCCCCGCCCAAATCCCACCAGCCCCCCCTCTCTCATAAAAAATGAGCGGTCCCTAAAGTACCGAAATAATTGTAGAAAAGAATGGGGAATTCAGCCTCTATCAAGCAGCCACCTCTATTAAGCGACTGCCGCCAGCTTTTTGCCGTTCCAACGAGAGTATTCCCATTGTTGTCACCTCTTTTAAGCGACCGTCAAGCACTTGACAGACTAAGTTTGGATTTATTTTGAGAGTAGTGATGAAGGAAAAAAGTCAGAGATAGAAGGTGACGACCGATTGTGGACCAGTAATGGTGCCTCAGTCGCGTGTTTGCTTTTAAAGTATAGTGATGTTTCTGCTAAAGATTATGCTAATTTATGACCCAACTTATGACGAACCTCTGTTGAGAGACCAACCCCTATCAAGCGACCACTTGCCGGTACCCCGAGGGTGCCCGCTTAATGGGTGTTCAACTGTATACAGAGAAAAATTCTTGAATCTGATTGAATGAGAACAAGGCAGTTTTTAGAAAACACGGTGCAAAACGAAAAACTATAATACAAAAATCAAGGAAATAAAAGGCAAATGTCTCCGAGGATGGAGCAGTATGAATGGCTAATATTTAAACGATAGAAACATGTTAAAACCAATCAGGTGCGCAACTCAAGTGCAACCTCAACATGACCAAAGAGGGGCTCCAGGAATGAGCAGGCAGTTGTTAGGGTCTAGATGGTGGCCATAATAAACAAGTTCAACCAGTTTTGACTGGTAATTTTTTTCATGTATATTATTGAAAGGTGATCATACTACTTTTCTAGTTTTCATTCGCGTGTTTTTTCAGAGAGCTCAAATTTCTTAATACTTTTTGAAAAACACCCTCGTGCAAATAAATTCCAAATTGAACTCGGAGTCGTATGATTACCTATAAGACGGTTATTTGACAGACTGGGCAGAGAATCGCCGCACAAACGTTTCCCCCGAGTAATCCTCACCTCCCCGCTTCTACCGAGTCAACTACAGAGCAATGGCTACGCCCTTTGGAGTTCACAAGGATAACAGAAAGGTTACGTTTGCCCAAAACGTGTATTTACATGGGCGATTTTAACGCGTATTTTGTCGCCTGAAAGTATCGTCGATCTCAACGCCAAAATAAAATGTGGCGCACAGAAGTTGACATTTTTACGGGAAAGTGCTCGAGTTTCGATCATTATCAAAATTGCGGCCACTTGGCTGCAATTAGAAAATTGCGGTAAAATTTCCGACTGCTTAAACGCGCGATTTGGGTTTGCCGTCCTGGTGCGCAAAAAATTGCTCAATAAAATTACCCGTGTAAATAGTCCATAAGTTGCGCAGCTCCCCATGGCTCAGCAAATAGCCCTTGTATGATACTTACAAAACAAAACTTTTCAAGGGAAGTTCTTACCCTACTATTGTCCCAATTCCAACATCGCTTTCAACCGTGACTCCAGCAACGGAGGTAAAAAGTTCTGGTGCAGAGGAACCCGCCGCCATGAAGGTTGCACCCGCAACATCCTCGGACAAATCAAGTTTTTCCGAAATAGCTTCTAATGACGGTACAAAAAAGTCGTCGCAAATAATCGCAAGCGCTAAGAAACAAAAAAACAAAATGAAAATTAGGAGACTTGGCGTTCATTTATTAGTTATATTGAAATACGTCGAGACGCCTTACAGCTGGTACAATTACTTTTTTTGCTAATAAAGAGATTCAGAAGTTAATGACGTAAAGAACGTGTATTAGAGCGGAGAAAAGAAAGAATCGCGAAAATATAATTCATAAAATCCGCCGCGCTATACCAAACCCGGCGAAAGCCGCCATACTCCAGTTAAAGAGTGACAAAAAAAAATGAAAAAAAAGGATTTTTTTTTCATAGTTTTCCTCCCTTTTTTCATGTACTGGGTTCGAAATCAAACAAACACAAAAACTGGCCAGAAACAGTAAGAAAGATAGCCCCAACTGTGTTGTGGTAAGCAGATAAACGCACACCTCGTGTCTTTAGATTACAGAACAATGACAAGAGCAAAAACATCACTTGCTAACTAATGTAAAAGGTTTTACCGGTGTACGTAATCGATTACATAATTCATTTGTACTCAGGCGCGCTAAAATTCAGCGATGATTTTCAAACAAGTTTATTTTAATACCTATTTTATACTGTAATATGTCATGATAAAAAAAGTAGCGTCGAAACGCGTCTCATGCATCAATGGTAAATTTAAAAAGTTCTGTTTTTCCGGAGAACGTTCCCTAAATTGTGACAATCACACCCTCACTTACCTACAAAGATAACAAGAATAAGAAATATGTGCAATGCTAGCCAGGCATACGCCTTACGGGGCGCGGTCCAAGACTCTCGATTAGAGTAGTTTCTCTCGTGGCCAATTTCAAAGTTACATGTTTCCCACTCCACCGTTGACAGCAGATGCCTTGATTGAAAAACAGATTCTGTAGAAAAATACAAGAAAAACGAGAGTCGTTTAGTAGAACTTTCAAGATCCATTATAGTCTTTTCATCCCCCAGAAATATTCTTCAGGACGTAGATGGCCAGGAGCCGATCGGCTCCTGGATGGCTCATAAATGATATAGTGGCGAAGAAAAAGAATTTTACAAAGCTTACAAAGCAAAATTTACAAAGCTATCGCAATAACTTTTAAGAGTTTTGCTCTCTAAAAAAAATAATAGTTGAAATAAACGGCAAGCACCGAAGTGAAAGTGCTAACTGACGGTGGTTTCTGAAAAACGCTTTCTTATCCTAGCCTTCTCTCAAATGGTAATGAATACTCCTTATTAGGGTCAGGAGCCCATCAAATTTGATGGGCTCCTGTTAGGGTAGACATTGGAGAGATTTAGAGTGCCGTTTACGGCAAACGGTAAACGTCAGATTCAAGTTGACAATTTTTCAATATAGACAACGTGCAGATAAAAACAGTTCAAACCAATTGTTATAGACAAAACTAACGCGAAGCTATTAATTTTGTGGTAGAGGTAATGAACAGTAAAGCGCAAAGTAAGGGAAAAATTGGTCACGTGGTACAAATCAGACACAATTCACGTTTGCCGTTTGCCGTATTCGTGACTCTCAATATCTTTATTAAATAAACAAAGTTTTCAAAGATGGGTAGAGTGAAATCTTGAGACAAAACAGGTAATAATATTTAAAGGCAACGATAAAATACATTGCTTACTTTCAATATTTATTTAGTGATATTGTTGTGTGGAATAGACAATCAATTTGTAATGTGCTCAATTTAAATCATCCCGTTTAGAAACAAAAGGTTGCTTCAATTACTGCAGAAGGAAGGAAGTTCTGACTTCACGCTCAAGATAGAACACAGGAGGTGTCGAAGGTACGTACAAACACTAGTTTATTGAAGCCGTTCAAACTGAGGGCAATATTTAGAGAGTTTTGTCTATTCTTCTCTTAATCCTTAATCCGAACATGGGATCAGTCAAGCAACCACATCACTCTACGGAAACAAAAGACAACTAAAAACCTTTGTTTTTGCGATTTTCGTCCTACTTTCGTTTTACACAGCAATAGTGTGTAGCCAGGAAAACAAAATTTGCATTTTTTAATAACCTAAGATGCAGGTCATTTCAAAGGGTGTACTTAACACCTCTAGTGTAATTGTTTTCAAACAAGGCCGTAGATGAATTAAAAATATTTGTCTTTCGGGACAATATTGAAGCATTTTATTTGTATAGTAATTGGGCAACTGCAGCGAAAGCGACGAGGTTCAAGTTGAGACTCAAAAGATTTTGTCTCAAAAAAGAACAATCGAAGTTTTCGAGGTCTATCTAAACTAATTTAATCTCGATCACCAAATTTTTATGTAAACCTCTAGTGCTTTTAGTGAAATTAGTGCAATTAGTGATATATTGATAGTATCAATTCCAATTTTATTTTAATGCCCAGAGAAGTACTAGGTTTTGTATCGTTCAGATTTAAGATTAAAGAGGACTGTTGCATTTAACGGTGAACTTGTATTTATTTTCACGGTGACATAGTATAATTAGCCGTTTTAGAAGGTTTAAAATTTTGCTCCGCGAAGCATTGCCTGCGATCGGTCAAGTATACTCGGTTATAAACATCTTGTTAGAGGTAAAAAAACAGAGAATGGACTCATGAAGATCATGGAGGTTATTATAAGCTGTAACTCGTTTGCACTACCAACAAAAACGTAAGGGCTTCATGCCTGTTTTCATCGCTGTAACTTTATGGTGGGTAACAAAAAATTAATCATCTTTTCTTCCCTTGGCAGTTAGAGGTCTGTATTTTGTATCACTTAACCAGGAAAACGTAAATATTTTTACAGCCGCTTGCTTCAAACATATAAGTAATTATCATATACAAATTATTGGCTTCTTTGTCAAGAAAGATTTAGTTTTCTAATTGTCACTCAACGAAAATGAACCTGTCTCTTGCGTTGACAGCTTACACTAGCAACTTCCATCATTTTCCCATATTCGTCTGCATTTTCGCTGAGCTGAATAAACTTACATGGATCAGAAGAGAATTTTTGGTGGAGCCAGATAAACTGATTTTAGCTGCAAAATTTGGGGTTAATTCCACCATACAACTGGATCGTCCGCCAGGTCGGTTTATGTTGTGAATATAAATATTTTTTAATTTTCTGGTTTGAGAATTGTAAGCTTCAATTTAAACACTTGAACTATTTATGGCTCTTCGTTTATGATCAACCAGGCTTACATGTCTGGAAGTAAACCCAAATTACCTCTGCCTTTATCTTTGAACTCTGTCAAAAATTGAGTTTGTTTATAAAGAGCCGGCAGAAACTCCATTTTTCAAAAAGACACTGCTTCCCTGAAAAACTGAATATTTTATGAAAACTGGCTGAAGATAATATCAGGCACTATAAAATTTGCCGATCGTGTTCATTGTTATGCATTTCTTACATGTTTTCTTTGCATTTTATAGTGCAAGTCAGTAAACGTAAACAGCCTTGATCAATACCCTAAAAAGTTAGCTGTCAGAGTTTTACAAAAAGAGCTGAAATACTTACCGTCGCTCCATTCCAATCCTGTTATCAGCGCTTTAAACATTAAACCGCAACCAACGAACAATGATATCACCAAAATCCGACGGCACAGCAAACCACATTTTCGAAGCGGCGAACTTGATGTAAACCTCTTTCGTTCTCTACGCCAGTACATCTTTGTTGTCTCAAAATTTGATAAAACAAACATACATAAGCTTATGTTAGCGGCTAAATGTGATTCATTTAGGTTATAAAATATTAAGGACAAATTATACTTAAAAGTATTTTAGTCCACAGAAAGCCATACATAAAAAACAATCGAATCTGGATGAATCCAAGAGTAAGCTGGTTGAAGAATAATACTTAAAAGTTGTAAATTCCCTTTTAATTCTATTCACCTCTCAATTTTTTATAACCTCTTAACACGGCTCATGCTATTGGAAATTATACTGTTAGGCTAACCTGCGCTCAATAAATCTAACAAGCTGAAATAAACCTAAGCTAGCCTTACTTACATTTGGTCATGACCAGAGGCTGTGATTGAAAAAACGTCACTCGGTGAGGATTTTCAGTTGAAGTGGTAGAAGAAAAGATTAAACCCAAACAAAAAATGCACATTTTTACGCCTTTCCTGGGAAACACACTTTTTGTCAGCTCCCTGTAGAGATGTTTATCTCTCCAAAAGTAATCTACAGTTCTTAGCCAAAATTACCAAGCAAAATTTGAAGAACGCAAGAGTGGTGTAAAATTATCTTCCTTCCCGCGAAAATTCTATCTTGTCTCCGCTTTTAAGTTGATAAAAATGCAGCAAAAACTAAGAAAAACATTGTACACAAGGCCTAATTGAAATTCCCTCCGATGATTGTAATTGATGATTTGAATAAATGAACATTTGAATGTGCAATTTTCATTTGTTGAAGGCGAAACGAAGACAATACTTCATTTCAATATTACTTTACGAGATGTCAAGTGGAGAGAAAAGCAATTCAAGATTGTTTTACCACCACCTTGCAGCGACAGGGCTGAAGAAATGTCACCTAACTGCATAAAAATACCTTTTGGCGACAACTGCATTAGGTTATGCTAATTTTTCTCTTCTTTTTCATGTCTGTCATCCGTTTTTATTGCTGTAAACTACCATTGCCGTTGCAGCATGTGAATCAACCTTTTCGCCATTCAAAAAGCATTGTCGCGTCATGAATACGTCATAGTAACTATGGTTACATATAAAATGCGATTTTTGTCCCTCGGGCCTATATCTTTGGCCTAAATAATTTACAATTTGTCAGAAACTGAAGCCTGAAAAAATTAAAACCTTGTTTACAAAAATGTGTGATCTCAAAAGGCCCGTTTTCATGCTTTAAAAATTTAACTCCCGATAAAACAGTGAAGGGAAAATTATCAGTTCTTTGCCGCTTTATGCTGCACAGAATGCGAAAACTTGATAATCATCGAAAAAAAAATTGTCGGTCAAGATCTGCGATTTTTCTTGAATATGCACCACGCTCTTCCACCCTTCTAGCATATTGGTGACGGAAATTCACAGCAGGAGACATTGTGGTGTAAAGATAACAAAATAGTCCTCACCGCTTACAATGAATACACTTTCGTAAATGAAGTTATCGCAAAGCGTCTATCAAAACTTTTAGAGACGTTTAGCTGAGCGCTATTATTTCTTTTATATGGAAAACCAATTGTTGTTTTGAAATAAAAAGACAGCACTAAATGAAGCGACGATTTTTCTCTTTCTAGAAAATAATTGTTTGTTGAAAAAGTACCTAAATATTTTTAACAATGTATCTTGCTCTTGTAAAACTTCACGGAAGCAAAACCACCATGAAAAAGTATGTATACAATATTGAATACGGAAACCATTCGAAGGAAAACTCGTTAGAATTTGAAGATCAAATTACCGACTCCCATGGATAACGTGCAAATTGTAACATCTGCTCTTCAAAGTTTGATATAATTATTTAAATAATACCTAAAGATTTTCCGTGTTTTGCGCGCCCCGAGAGTAAACCGCGCTACTATCTCTGACTTAACTCATATCGTTCTCTCTGGCAAATTCTGAATAAAGATCAAGTTAGACCAAATACCTGCAGCCTTTAAATAGAGGCAGAGTTTTTCAAACTCCCTGCTCGGCAGCGTTTCTTCTGGTATTAAACGAGGTATCACAGCAAAATGTCCACTGAAAAATAACAGTCGTAGAAGTTTGTCAACAATCGCTCTAACCTGAGATCAGCCTCTATTTTCGTTTCGCTTCGGAAAATAACTTTCTGGCAGATAGTCAACAACTGCTTGAATATTTTGGAAAATATTATTTACTCGGCCGTGATTTGAAGAATTAAAATATTACGTTTCATAGCATCATCTTTATACATCCAAAGTATCATTTACTTGTTTCATAAAAATCTCTTGACTTTAAATGATAAAAATGGTAAACTGTAGCATTTTGACGTACGATACTTTGTATTATTTACATAAAATTTTGTAATTTTATTACAACTCTGACGTAGTCTCTCTAAAAACTAAAAGAGCACAACGAGACCTAATCATTTATTTATTCATCTTTCTTCGAGCCAGACAACTTTGGTGGATACGAACGGCAAAAAAAGTATTTGTCCATTACCCTTGCGGGTGATCTTCGACTTGGTTTCCGATTTAAAATGAGATTGTTCTGTAATATAAATTAAAATTATACTAACAACTATTCGTTTATAAGTGACGGACTGATAGTGATATCTTAGGTTGTTTGTGTTCTTCTTATCTTATTTAGATTTAGCCAAAGGTTTTTCACTTAACGTCAGTGATGTTTTTTTGTTTCTTGACAGGTAGGAAAGTTAGGGGAAAAATGTACTTACCGAACAAATAGCTAAAAACGTGAACCTTTCGTGTCCAATTTTTTGGTGATGCTGTGAAAACTCAGGTTTAAGCCCCCGGTAATAGATCCATTATATAGCCAATAAATATGTGAGGTATTAAGTAGGCCGCCATAATTCCCTTTCTTAATATACCGTTAAGTAATTTTACCAAAAAATGTACTATTTGATAGTGAAAATTGGGAAAGTGAAATGTAATTTAAGCGCCAAAAATAGTTTTAACCATACTGATTCATCATTCTTGTGGTGACCGATTTGGACAGTTTAGCGTATTAAGCCAGCCTCCCAGTCTAACCTAGTCTCAAGTGCAACCATAAAATGGCCAACAGTCGTCGCAGATATTCATACCAGTAGTTGCCCAATAGTTGCCATAGCTTCCTCTTGCTTCGTCCCAAGTCCCTGTACGGCGCGGTCTTCCCAGGCCTTCTCGGTCAATTTATTTCGATGACGTATCCGAGACTTACAGAAGGAAGACCCAAAACGCATAGGTCGCGCGGAAAAAAAAAGGCCTAGGGATCCTAGGGACTAGGTAAAGCCCCCTCTACAGGAAACTCCTTTTGTACCGGTTACACTGACCGTGAGGAGTCTGAGAACAAGAAAAGAAAGAAGAAGGGTTGCCTGGCAAATATCGAAGAGTGTAGACCTTAGTGTAGACCGCGTTCTTCACTCGTATGGACACGTGACAGGACCCGGGGTCCTCTGGAGGTTTTCGCAGGAGCCGATTACTTAATCGGCTCCTGGTTTCCTGGTTTTCGTTAATAGGGACCTTACGAGGCCACGACGACGACGGCAACGGGAACGTCACAAAACAATAGGTTAAATGAGCAAAACAACAACTCTGCACGTGCATCACGCTTTTTTGTACATTTCTTTGCCTTCACTTAAACAACTACGACGTGAAATGACCAAATTTTAAGTTTACTTGGGAACGGGAACGGTAAGGCCATAAATTCTACCATCTCTGTCCGAACTTGAGCGCGTTCCCCTCTCTCCAGCTCCAGCCAAAATCTCCTTCTTTTAAATAACAGGACGAATAGGACAATTGCACGATGACGTCATTTTACTACAACTACCAAAATCCTCGAGTTTGTTGATTCCTTGTGCAAATTAAGGCTATTGTTCTTTAATCCTCAGCGGGATTGACAAAATTAAAAAATAAAGCAAAACCGAAATGAATTCTGGTAGTTGTAGTCAAATATCGTCATCGTGCAATTGTCCTATTGGGATAATCGCGAAAAAGTTTGAAATGATGCGAAGTCTGTTTTCGGCGACGTTTTCATGGACGTCGCCGTTGTCGGATCGTAATAGACCACGAGCAGTCTCTCTCTTTTCTTGGTCCGTCGAGCAAAACGCCCGAGACACGCAAATGACCACGAGCGTGACTGAAGGCGCGAGACAGGCTGTCGCCCTCGTTTCTCGTGTTTCGCGGTTTCGCCGCACAACGCTCACGCGCGCGTGCACTCCCCTTACTAAATCTAAAGAAAAAGAGAGACTGCTCGCAGTCTAGATCGTAAGGTCCCTAGTTAGGAGTTTTTGAGCGACGGACTTCAACCGGAAGTGACACCTCTTCCCTCTTAGTATGCCTTGACGATACAAGTACTCGATCTGACCGGAAATTTGGGCGAAACGACCGCTCAAGAGTGGAAAAAGTTCACTTTCGGTTGGCGGGATACTATTATTATTAAAATTCCTAAAAACATTCTGTATCAATGCAACATTTCAACATGGAGACAAGCGAAGACGTTCCTAACACTGTTGACTCTATTCCACAGCCCTCCACAATAAAAGGCTTTAAATTTTCTGGTTCAGATGGAGGGATCTGGATATGTCATTTTCCTTTCGACAAACTTACGAACAAGGCCTCGTAAATCTGCTGTTGTCACTCAAAACGGCCCCCCCCCCCCACAATCCCGTACACAAATTGGATTTGTATGAGTGAGCCAACATGCGCAGAAGATCATCACCTTGTTGATATTGTCAGTCCAAGTTCTCTCCCCATTCTTCCATCCGTCCTCTGCTCAGGACAGTGATGCTCACACAGGAAGCTACAGTAACAGAAATGTTTATCAATTTTCATCACGTTCGTTTTCTTGAGACAACGTACTTGGCCAGCGATTACTTATATATATGTACACGTTTATTTTTCATTCTGATACTTTTTAAACGCTTATATTCGTTCCACGACAGTCTGAACTCCACATGTTAATTTCTCTGACAAAGAAGTCAATGCACCTGGCGAAATATTCCCAGCTCCATAGGTTACCAATTCCGTCACATGAAATGATTGGTGTAATCTGCTTAACTTTCACTACTAAAAAAGCGCAAGTCCGGGTGATTCTTGGTGTTGCAGAATGGAAAATCATTGTTGGTCAGCTATTGTTTTGTGGTGAGGGTATTATTCAGTGTCTTTTCAATTTTTTTCTTTTCATTACGTCGGAAAAACACGAAATCATCGCCACTGCTAAAGCTTCCTCAAGCGAGTCGGAATATGAGGAGCGACTCCGGCATACGCTCATCACGCGATTTTGCCTAGTCCAAACTTCTTTCCCTGGGTTCTCTCCTACCCGTCCCCACAGAGCGAGAGAGAGAGAGAGAGAGAGACAGAGAGAGACAGACGGTTAGGAGAGAGAACCTGGGAACGAGGTTGGCCCAGTCCCTGTACGACGCCTGCCCAGGCCTTCTCGGTCAATGCATTTCGGTGAGACATCCGAGACGAACGGCCGGAACTCTCTTGGACCTCGCAACACGAAAAGCATAGACCGCGCGAAATAATGAAGCCTAGAACCTAGGCCACGTGCGATCAAATGAAGCCCCAACCTCGTTCCCAGGGTTCTCTCCTACGAGGTTGATGAAGCCCGTCTTCAGTCGCGCGTATCGCTGCGTCGGGCGTCGATCTCAAGGCACCTATAAACTAATTAGACATAGCTTCTCTTTTATCTTTACGGTCATCATCCCAGCGCAAAAAAGAAGGATGAAAAACAAAGTTTGGCCGGGAAATAAAAAAAAATTACCTCCTTCCGTTTTTGTGTCGAACGACAAAACTATTTTTTTACATAATATCCATCGTCATCGATTGAAGAAATAAACTTCAGTTAAAAGACAAACCAAATGGTACAACACAAAGAGTTTGCATGTGTGTAACACGTGTCAATTTTATACTGAGCAGAAATCAAATGCTGGTTCCGTAAGGTCCATTAAAAGCAAGATAAAGCCATATGTTAAACCCTGATCTAAGAAAACTCATAAATCGAGAGATCATAATAATTCCTATTATGATCTCTAGAACAAAATCAACAAACAGTACAAAGCGAAGGTCTAACCCAAGTGGTTTTATATCAATGTTTAAACCGTAGGGTTCAAAAGCTAGAACTATTAAAAACCTAGCATTGAAGATATTATGGTATTGTGATACTGTCTCATTTGGATTCTGAACTAATGATTCTTCAGTAGCGCTTGTCTGCTAGGTGTATTTGTTCCGTCTTTGTTATCTTCAAAACAAAGGTAGAAATGTTTTATTGGGCCTTCCAGCCTCTTTGGATCATTATGGTCTTTGTACTTTTTGCAGATTGGTAAAATATGCTGCCTTTTTTGGCTTTGTTTTGCAGGTTTTATTGAGCGAAGGAAATAATCCCGCTATAATATAATTCGCCCGATTCATTTCTCGATTTTCTAGAAAAACACCATTAAAAGCGCATGAAATTTAATGTTGACATTCGTACTATATCCGGTTCTATTTAGGCTTTTATTTTCACACTTATATTTATTTTCTTTTTCCAAATTTTGACCGCCGGAAATGGCTTAGTATTTTAATATAAAATTGAGGAAGACTACATCCTCTTAGAAACATGTTTCTAGAGCTGGTATTCGAATAGTATGTTATCTTATAATGCTTACAAAATGATAAGATTTTATCTCCAAATTCACAGAATTCAGGTGTATTTGCCGATTTATCTGTCATATCTGAATCCATTAGGCATTTCAAAGCCATTTTTGTTACTTAAATAGCTCGGAAATGAAAAAGAGCGAGTTTACATTCTCAGAGACAGCTAGAGTGATGGGTGGAGAATAAAGCTGATTGTACAATATTAATCGGTTTGGTATGAAGTCTCGCAAAAGAGTAGTTAGTGCATCATCTTCAACGAAAGGGGACAATGTGATCTAAATTCATGCAAAGTAAAGCTTACATCGACATAGCACTAAAAGCCAGATGATCTAACACTTCTTTGAAAAGAAGAAATTACAATGAACCGTGAAAATTACGGGACATTACGTGATCAGATTAGCGACGATATTCAAACGAATATTAGCTAACTTTTCAAAAGTTCCACAAACTCGCGATAACGGTGTAATTTATAGCACTTTGCCCACAATTTTCAGCTAAAATGTTTCATACAGGTGCAAAGGGTATTTGCATTCCGAGTATCCTGTTTCAGTCACCAAAAGCCATGAACTATTTCTCAATATCTACGGCACCTGATTGATTACGGAAACATATAGCAAGTAAGCGTGAACCTAGAGCTCTTCGCCTAAAATCACAGATCAGTGACACGGACGAACTGGCTATGGCAACTCCTGGTTAATTAGTAGCTTTGCGGAACTGTTAAAGTAAGACATTTTATTTTATTTGCACTTCTAAGATACTTTATCAGTCGCCACACGTACTTCTTCAGCATCTAAGGGCGGAGGCGACCTTGCTCAGAGTGGAAACCATTAACAGGAAGCGTAAACTAGACCTCTTCGCTAAAATGCATGGATCCGTTGCGTGGAAGAAAGAGGAGAACAAATCATACTTCTGTGGTACAGCTTTGCGCAACTGACGACCTTGAAGCCACACTGATTTCATCCGTCTTCTGGAAAACTGTTGCGCAAAACGAAATCTCTGCGTCAACGTGCCAAGTAAATTTGACTCTATTCTCCCGCTCTGAGGTGTTTCTGCGAACTTCGCTTTCGGAGCCGCAGAGTAAGTAGAGGTTCTCTTCTGACCATTACATTTTTCAAGTAACGGACTGTGTAAAAAAGGCCCTTAACTATTGACTGATTTAAGGTTTCTTAAACTCAGTCCAAATATTCACCGCGGTCAAATGAGAGAAATGTACAAAAGCTAAGCAAAATACTTTAAAGCCAATGTTGTTATTTTCCTTGTTCAAAGTTTAATACATCACTCGGCAATACCCTGTTAATTTACCAAACTATTTGAAACTTAGACTTGCTACAAGTCGACTTCACGAGTTTCTTAAAGAGCGGAGCGAGCTTTTTATGCCGCGAAGAGGCCGAGCGAACGACAAAGTCCCGCGCCATCGGACGAAGGACTTTTTTGAAAATCTATTTCAAACTTTGTTAAAAGAGTTCTGAGGGTTTGAAAACTGCAGAAACTGGCGTTACCTGTTGGCGTAATTTGCAAACATGACTCGTACTCGGGTGGCAAGTATCATCAAGAAAAAAACGGATTACTGATTTTAATAACTAATTCTTTTACACGACCTTGCGAGCGTAATGGTGAATGAAATCACTCTAAATGAAGCAAACAATTGCCTCAGACAGATCGTTGATTGCGGTCTAGTCCTAATAAGGTGGGGTGATTCGTATGAAACTTACGGAGCAAGCAAATCTTTGGTGTTTTTTTATTCAGCCTACGTTTCTTTGGGAGAACCCAAATATGGATAGAGTGATGTTCATTTGACCTCAAAAATGGTTCCCGTAATTTTTCAAAACATCCCTAAAACATGGACTACCCGTTTTTGGCGAAAGAAGACCTAAAGGCCCGGTTCAGACGCTGTACTTCACTTGAGCTGATTCGAACTGGAAGTTTAGGTTGACTCGAATTAATTTAGGTCGGCTGAATTGATTCAGATGCTTATCTTTATTCTAGCTGAACTAAGTTCAAAAGGGAAAAGACGCGCATTTCAGTAAACTGCTTTGTAAACACTTATGCTGGTTCCGTTCGTGTGAGAAGGATTGCCTCGCCCACTTAAGTCCCCAAATACAAGGTATCGACCCAAGGGTGTGTGTGTGTGTGTGTGGGGGGGGGGGGCTACTCCGGATTTCAAGTGACGGGGATGATCGAAGGAGTTTATTGGGTTGGTTTAAATAGAGATTTTTTGGGTATTCAAAACAATCTGAAGATTCGTGGTAGTGCCCGCGTATCTCAGTCGCGTAGATCAGCGAATATAGTACGACCAACGAAAGTACAACGCGTTATCATTTAATGATTTTTGAAAATTTTTAAGGCTCGGAAATACGGCATGGGTTCTTTGGGGGTTAATGTTTGGTCCAGGAATTTTGGGGGTTTTGTTGGAAGCCCTAGGGTTTTCGATTTTTGCCCCCATTCGACCATTCCCGCCACTTAAAATCCGGAGTACCCCTCCCTCCTCCGGGGATTTCGACCTTGTAATTGATCACCGGCATCGTGACCAAACTTTGGCGTGGGCATTTGAAGAAGTGGGGTCACATTGGTTCTCAGCGAGTACCGAACTCGGGCACCGTGCCGAGTCAATAAATGTGAACGCTGCCTACGGATGTCCCTGTTGAGACTTGCCTAAGTGTACCTGTTAGCGAGAGTCAAGGGGAAACGACGGAAGAATGGCAGGGATAAGCCCTGATAAGCCCCCTCTTCAGAGGTGTCAGGTTCTCGTTAAAAGAGAGCTGGCTGTATCCTCTAATCAACATAACCTGTTTACAGATAAGAAAAATTACAAGATATAAACAATCTAACGATTAGTTGTTCTGATTTCCAGATCTTTAGGTTGTTTGGCTGTTCTTTACACGCAAGCTTGCTGCTGGACAAGGCGTAGGTGATCCAGAGCAATCTCATACGGCATCAACGACAACAACAACTCATTTCGAAAGGGGCCTTAGTGCCGCTGCCTCCCCCACAACAGCCAAAAAAAAACCACACAAAACAACAATCCTTTCCTTCATCAAAATATGAACGAATCACAGCCCACTCCAACACTCACCAATAACGAGCCCATCAATCTGTCTTCCACAGCATCAGACGTTTTCCTCGTCTTAACAATAATCATCGCTGTGCTTGGAAACACGTTGGTCTGCTTGGCCTGTGTTATTTCCAAACGGCTAAAGAGCTTCACGGAGCCCTTTATAATCAGCTTGGCGGTGACTGATATTCTAGTTGGACTCATTTCTATGCCAATATGGCTTTCTAACAGTCTAACGGGCAAACCCAACATCAGAGACTTTCCGACCATTTACAAACTTTGGTTGCAGTTTGACATTGTGTGTTGTACAGCTTCTATAATGAATCTTGTTTTCATCAGTGTCGATCGTTTCATAGCCGTCACCTATCCCCTCCGATATCCAAGCATGGTTACACGAAATCGCGTCGCAATCGGGATTGCCTTCATCTGGCTTTACTCTTTAATTATCGCGCTCATAAAGCTCCAAAGATGGCGATACTACTCTCTGTTTGTCTCACTGGCTTCGTTTTTCGTTCCTCTTTTAATCATGTTGTTCGCCTATTCTCGGATATTCCACGTAGCTTTAACCCACGTACGAAGCATTCGTCGCATACACTCGGACCAATCGATATCTAATCGGAGAACTATCGAGAACTTTCACGTTAACTTAAAGGCTGCACGCACGTTTAGCATTGTGATTGGTGCGTTCGTCGTATGTTGGTGTCCCTTTTTCGTGGTTACGTTACTTGCTATGTATTCTAAGGCTTCCATAAACAACAACGGTTTAGCCATGATTAAGTGGTTAACATATGGTAACTCGGCACTAAACCCGCTCATCTACAGCTGTTTGAACAAGAACTTTAGGGCTGCGTTCACGGATGTGTTCAGAAGAGCGCTCAGTAGGAGAATGACACATGCACAGAGTTCGACAAAAAGGCACCCGACGACTTCTGTTGTCCCACAAGGAGACCAATAAAAATGGTAGACAATTCCTCTCCCCACCAATATAGGCTGATTTAGCAACAGAACGAGAACGTCATTTGACGACGGGAAAGTGCGCGGAAACGACTAAACTCGACTTCCGGTGCCCAATTTGCGGCTCAGCGATTGGTCAAGCCAGTTGTTGGATTTGCGCGCGCCGTCGTCAACTGACGTTCCCGTTCTGTTGCTAAATAGGTGTAAGGGAAGCAACATTGCTAGGTGAGTAATCTTGTACCCAGATCTCTCGGCTTCGTTGACAAAAGATCAGGACCAAGTTGTTCAGATAACCCAGGGTTATTGCGAAATTTTAATTCAGATATGAAAGCTTCGAAGGGAAATTCAGTTTTATTCTTTTCGTATACAATTTGATGATTGGATGCTCTAAAAAGAATAGAGAAAATTATCCGGGAAAATGCTTTTGAACAAAAGAGAAAGAAACCCAGGTTATAATTATTTTAACCTTGGGTTTACGCTAATCGGCCTTCGAACTACTGGGCCCTGGGTATCGGATAACTCGATGCGCTGTAACACCATCACCCTTCCTTCCAGACTCTTTGTGTTGTAACGTGATCTACCAATCCAAGATCGAGACTCTTTCATCATCATCATCATCATCATCATCGGTCGACTAGAGAGCAGTCGACTGGAACACGTTTCCAACTGGTTCGGTCTTATTTTATTTATCTTGTTATAACTCTGCCATTTAAAGTAAAAATGCAAACGAGGCAAGGGAGGCCCAAGGAAGCCAATAGGGCTTATAAAAAGGACCACTTTCAAAAATATATAACTTCATTAATGAATATAATACTGGCATCGGCAAGACAATTTAACTAATCACATACAATTTCTTTACAACATAGAAAATAATCATTAAATAGGATGAAAATAGATAAGGCTGAATGTGCAAGTATAATGCAAGAATACGAGAAAAAAAGCGAAAGAAACGAAAAATTACACATAGATGGCCACAAGTTTATTAGCTCTGCCTATTTAGTGTCAACACTCATCAAATAAAGCCTTTATTTTATCTTAACTTACAAGCATTAAGAGAAGTAAGGTGTGCTTATACCAAGAAAAATGACGGCTTTAGTTTACAAGTGAAAACAGCAATACAAGAGGCATTCTGAATTTCAGAGCTAAGGGAATTAAATATTTTGGGCCCTTGAAAACGAAGTGAAAGTTTCCTTACATTCGTCCCGCAGTAGGGCAAACGGAAGGAATTCTTACTTGAGTATTATATGAATGTACGTCACAGTTAAGTAAAAAAATGTCATTGAAACTACGAGAAAGAAGTGCCCACGATGTCATCCTCTGAGAAAGGTTAGAAAAAGCCTCTTTAAAGGAAAGTAACCAGTTGGGCTTAAGTGCCCAAGCAGAGTTTAAACCAGATTAACTTGCGTTTAAGTCCACTTAAGAACTGTATTTGTCAGACATGAGTTGTTCAAAAAACTCGTCTATTTCATAGTTAACAATGTCTAGCTTAATTAAAGTGCATATGACACGAAAAAGTTCAGTTTTTCAGAGTTTTTGGTCCTTCAGTATGTGTATTTAATAGTCCTGAAGTTCAAGCATGTCCTCCAAAAAAATCGTTCGGCTTTGGCCATCGGAAAACTGCATTTTTCCTTGTAGAAATGTCCGAGAGACTGAGAACGAGTTATGGGGTCCGAGCCAGGCTGATGACGTCACATGTCAGAAGGATATTGCTGTTTTAAGTAAATTCTATGCCGTATTTATTTCTAAGTGCCTTCACCCATGTAAAAAATGCTCCTGTAAAGTTGTGAGCGAGATACCACAAATTTCATCACGAGGCACTAACTTGAATAGTTTTTCAGTGGTGATTTTTGCAGGCACATCAAATTTCAGTCCATTTCTATCCTTGTAATCCGTTGTCACTGACGATAGGAAACAAATTAAATGTCTAAATATGGTTTTAAATAACAAAAGTAGATCCTTATTTCTGGAATTCAATTGATACGTAGCCTGCGCGCACGAGCAAGCTCTCCTGGGCGCTCTGGCGGCGGGGAGGGAAAAGGAAGGAGAGCTTGCGACTACGTCTCTGAAATTGGAATATCTGCGTCAAAAAAGTCGATGCAAAATGCTGATTGGCGAAGATTACATTAGTGATGACGTCATTACCCTTGGCGCGAGCTTTCACATGTTTTTCAATATTTGTTTACATTCGCGTTCGTTTCCGCTTCTCGCTGTTTGGCGGAAATCTGACAGCTCAGTCGACGGGAAGCCACAGGGGAATTGGAGGCGGAATTCAAATTCCAGAGACGTAGTTGCAAGCTCTCCTTCCTTTTCCCGCCTTGTCACCAGAGCGCCACGGAGGGCTTGCTCGCAGGCCAACTGACACGAAAAAAGGTTTTAGCATTTTATAAAAGCAAAAAGCGTGAAGTAGTCCCTTTAACTTCTCTTAGAATTGTTGAGACGAGGCTGTTATCGAAAATAACGTTTACTTCCGGGGTTTACTTGTTGCTGTCTAGTTACTTGCTGTTGCATGACAATATCTATAATAAACTGTTTTCATAATTTAGATTAGTACAGTTTAATGAACACAAAATACTAGTCAATACAAAAACAATAACTGAGAACAACTCGTAGCTAGAGAGAAGAAAATTCCTTTCGAAAACTCGCTTTCAGTCGCTTCTGGAACACATGATGACATCTCTATTTTCACTCTCTGGCAACCTTACGTCACTCCCTGGCAACTCCCTGCTACGTCTCACTTTCTTCAAGTCAGAGTAACATCGACTCAAAGGGTGTCGCACACCTTATGACGCGTACATGTACACCCTGCACAATAATGTAGCATAAGTTTGTAGCAAGGTTTACTGTCTTTAGTGGTAAGGGTTAGCAGAGGAACTAAATGATGTTTCATATAGACTTCATAGGGCGTTCTACCTCCCGTAGGCCAAAGTTATTTTGTCGCAACAAAGATTTTATCGCTAATTTACCAAACAAGCATGGATTGAACGAGCCTGGTACTTAAGTCTTACTTAACATAGGTTCGATTTCCGCCGTCTCCCGGGTCCGGTCATTTTCCCGAACAGCGGCTGGTAATCGAGCCTGTACTTAACAGTAGTCAGGGGTGTAGCTAGGGTGGGAGGGGTCCTGGGGTGCCGTGACCCCCCCTTGGTAGGCCTTCTTTTGAGCAAACAACCTACAATATTCAGGTGGCGAAAACGCCATGACAATATCTTGGCCGTAAAAGCCATTGTTGAAAAGCCCACTTTTTTAAAATTTGTTTTTTTGTAAAGTATTTTCGTTAACGGCGCTTGAATATATAAAGATATCATTGACATTGATGAGATCATCAACATTTTTGCCACTCGTCATCCACGCCGCCTTGTACTAAAAGATATTTTGACAGATAAGCAGTCAGAATAGAATAGAGTTTTTTCGTGGAACTTAACTGCTGGCTAGAAGCTATTTTGTAGGCTTGTCCTGCCCACTGTACTCTCACTACTCATCCCAAAACTGTAACATTAAGTAAAACATGCACGGCGTGGAGGTCGACATGACAATCTGGTGAGTAGCCTCTGTGACCCCCCCTTTGAAAAATCCTTGCTACGCCCCTGGTAGTTACCAATACACTAAGACATATAGTAAACTGACATTAAGTTGATATGGAACGCCTGAAGTTGAACACATCTCAATTAAAACTTCATAAAGTTTGCTTTGTGGTACTATAGAATTCAAATGAGTGCCACCTTCGAAAAAGCACCGCATCCTCGCAGCAACTATGTGGCGGTAATTGATTTTTCCATGTTCTTGATAGAATGTCAATATATCGCCTAAGACAAGTGCCAAGAGCAGAACAATGTCAGTTGGCGCGGGAAAACTCGCGTGCGTCAGGAGCCCATTAGCGGGAGCGACCAACTGACATACTGGGCCTCCGTCACAGCGTTTTCACGGACTGTTTATTTCTATATACATTTCGGAGCACTTTTGCCTCACGAAAATGAAAGCTCCGTTTCGCCTGTGAGCGCATTCGAGGTATAAGATATATAAAAAAGGAAGACTGAACATCATAAAAAGGTCAGAAGTACCATTTTCAGGTCTGAGAGTTTTATTGACCGACTTGCTGGATTTAGATTCTAGATTCTATTCTAGATTCGCGCCAAAATCGTTCTAAAAATGGTCGGTGAAAACGCCGTAACACGACTTCATGAAGATTATGGGCTCCTAGGCGAGTCCACTCGTGACTGGCGCAAACTTTGCTGCTGTATTTTACTCTTTTCTTTACAGAGCTTAACCCTTTAAACCCTAAGATCAAAATTTGAATTCTCATTTGTTGCCCCTATTCATTTCCTACAGAAGTAGTGGGGAGAGGTTGATGAAATAGCAAGTAAATTGATCTTGTGTGATCATGTGCGTAATTCTCATGACCACTCTGTTTTACAAAGCATTGATATTACAAGGAGAAATTTGCTGCTGATCACTCTTCGGGCTTAAAGGGTTAACAAAAGCAAAATTAAACTGCTCTAACGTACGCACTACACAGTAGTTACTACTTCAGTGCAAACAAGTATTTCCATTTCCGTCTTAGAATGAGCTTTGGTTAAATCACCAAGATTGTTTCCACTATTTCGGCTGCTGCTCCTGGTTGCGGTGTGTGAAATAACCCGACTTACATACGACAATCTTCGGGCCGACACGAACCGACAGAGAATGCGTCGGAATGCTGCTCGGAAGTGCCTGTTGAGGAGCGTGTAGATAATGGGATTCACCGCTGAATTAGAGTAATGCAGCCACTTCATAGCTTTCGCAACTTCCATGGTCTCATCTGGAGGTATACACCCCGAATTGCAAGTTACTGCAAAGATGAGCAAAGATATGATATACGGAGACCAGCAGGCGATGAAAGCGCCCATTACTATGGCAAGCGTCTTCGCAGCTTTCAAATCACTGTGCAGTACACGACGCATTTGGCGCATGGAAGTCTGGCTGGTCAATCGCGGGCGCACTTTGTGGAAGATAAGGCGGCTCGCATTTGAGGAATGTCTGGGAACCATACTGTAGGAGGGTCTCGTTTGTCCATTTGCAAAAATCTCTGGGTCTACAGCGTCACTGTTTTTATCATCGTGGTCCACTTCTGATAATTCGTGCATTGCTTGACCGCAGCCGCTTTTACGCATTTTTAGCGCTTGTTTATGAGCGACGCGAAATATTTTTGCGTAGGAATACACAAGAACTGGTAAAGGTAGGAAAAAACTAGCACAAGCAACAAAATACGGGTACCACGCTCCATGCCTCAAAATACGCAAACTCGCTACCACGATGGAGTACAGCCACACCAATACGATACAAAATCTCGCGCGGTTCTTGGTTAGTTTGAGATGATATTTGAACGGAGATGTGATGGCGTAAAAGCGATCGACGCTGATTGCCACGAGGTTCATGATCGAGGAGGTCCCGCTCACGATGTCCAGGCAGATCCAGAGCGTATACAACTCGACATCATGGTCAGGGTGAGGCCATTTCTTTACGAGATAAGTAAACCAAAAAGGCATACACACAAATCCAACCAACAAGTCAGCCATAGCGAGGGAGACCACGAAGTAGTTTGTGACATTCCTCAAATCTCGGCAAAGATAGAACGCGGCACACACCAAAATATTACCAAAGATTGTGAACACAATAAGGACAGCCAACGGAATTGTCGAGAGCGCGTCGTTTTCGGACATTCTCGGGTCTGCCTCGGATACGATCGCCTCCGGCGTTGGACCAAAAAGAACGGGAGTGGAGTAGTTTGCTTCTTGCATTATGTCGTTCCTTTCTCGGTTGCTTCAAGGAAAATTTTAAGTGGTTTATAAGAAGATACTCAACATTTGATCGCCAATTTAATTATTAAGGCCGGTAACTTTTGAAAGCCCTCACGAAAGTTTCACTTGCAGCGCCGAGTCACTGATGGACGAATCGTAATGTTGATTTTATCTTCAACTAGGCAGCTGTTCAAACAATTTCCACAACGAGCGGCAAAGTACGTTCACCATTAACAGATTTTTTAAATTTTCGTTTTCTACGAGAGAAGGCAATTTCTCCTCAAAATAATGAAACTCTCTTCACCGTTGTCGGCCCAAGCTAGAGTCTATTATGCATAAGTAGTTTTGAATTGTTTCCCGCTGATAAATAAACACACGCCTACCGATTTTCAGAACTAATTTTGTCAAGAACAAGAAATCTCTGCAAATTCAAGTAACAAATTAATAAACGCTGAGCGGTGTCTTTTGTGCGCTAACTACGACTCCTGCCATGTAATTGTACTTCGGCGGAGAGTTTAATAGCGATAAGGAGTGAGTTTGCTGTTTCACTTGTTGTGTTGCTTGTCCAACTAAAAGCGCGCAAATTGTGGTAGACCTGTTATGTTTGTTGATCAAGCAAACGCAAATCTTGCTTTCAATTCTCAATGGCCTTCTCTCTCCTTGTGCAAGCTTGTTTGGTTCTCAATAAAGGTTGCTTCTTCTTGTCTCAAAATTAAAAATTGTAATGATTGCGAAATCCAATCTCCAACAATTTGCGATATCGCCGACACAAGCACACGGCGATCCCCGGAAAGTTTAGCCTTTTTGCCAGGTTGATGTCGAAGCCAGTCTCTTTCTTATTAACGAGTACTGTTGTATTTGCTTCAAAATATAGCGTACGACGAATTTTTCAGTCACGTCTACCTCAATGAAAGGAAAGCGAATCTCTCTTTCAAAACGTGAATGGAATACACTAAAATGTCACTTGTCAAAGGGTTTTTTGAATTCACCTGCCAAAAGACCAGAGTTACACAAAAGCGTTCAAAAGCTCGCAGAGAGGAAATAACGAGATTATTGAAAATTGATATATATATGTCTGTCGCTGATAAATGTACACAGGAGGTGACTACCATGAGGAAAATGTCGGAGACACTCTTGAAAACATCACCATAAAATTGTAGTAATGTAATATGAAAGTACTTCATTTAATTAACCGGATTAAAAAAACTTTGATTTCCTAGGTCAACCAGGTGAGGCCTTCACATAAAGAAAATAAAAGAATTTTAAACAGTGTAAGAAAATACAAATAGTAGACATAAATTAAGGCTGCAATTTGCCAAAAAAAAAAAACTGTTCTCGTATCATAGGACTCTACACTGGTATGGAGGAGATAAAAAAATTGCCCAAATACCACATTTCGCTCTGGCTGATGACGAAGCAGTTTATCTCGTACAAAGACGACGGATTTCACTGAAAGCTGTTTTTTTTTTTCAACATTAAAATTGCTTTAGCAATGACATACCACTAATGAATTATTTCATAACTTGAGAGGGCGTTCTTAGTTGCACTAACAACGTGACTGTATGATATTCGGTCTTTTTAAGGTCTAATAGGTTAGGTTTTCTGGTCTAATAATTTCACTTTCAATTTTTTTTAAAAAAACGAAAGATTTAGCAATATTACCACAAAGCGTAACATTTCGGGAAGTAAACAAAAAAGACGCATAACGTCGGTTTGACAAGAGAAAATTTCTTAAATACACAGAATTGGAAAGGAGACCGCTGGAGGATTAGGAAACATTCACAACTAAGCCACAAAAAGGCAATTCTGATAAATTCATTCATTTCTACATTTCGTATAAAATGGAAAGATAAGCTAAACGGCCAAACATGCTAAATTTGACATATTTCATCTCAATATTTGCATTAAAGAAGCGATAACATTCGACTGGCATTTGCACAAACTACTTCAACATTACTTTGCCGCAAATTATACCCTTTTTTTTTCAATCGACGCAAAGTCTTCGCGTGAATCGTTGTTTGAACTGATGTTAAAAAAAACACTGAAGGCAATTCAAAATCAAAGTGTACCCGTTTTTAAGCTTAAAAATGGTAAATAAATTGGCAGACAGTCTTGTTTCTTAAAAAAAAATGATTAGAGGTAAAATCAGAAGTATTAAAAGACATTTTTCGGCTCGATTTCGGCGTTTCCTATGAAATTTCATTCCCGACGGCAGTTTTTTTGTGCTTTGATCGTTTAAACCAACGTCCTCACTTTAATGTTTGTTTGATTGTTTATTGTTATTTTCAAGTTCTAAGTCTTTAATTTACCAAGGACCAGTAAAACGAAAACTATCAAGTACTGTAATTCTCTTCTAAAAAACTGGTAAGTTTGTTTAGCGAGCTCGACAAGATGGTTGTTATTAATTTTAGTTAATGCTGTTGAGCAGGTCCAACAGTGTGATCGTCTAAGCAGTACTTTTCTTGTGGTATCCATTACATGCGACCAAGTTGTTATACAAGGTGGTTCTTGCTCAGTTTTGAGTCTTAAGATGAAAACGGTAGAAAGCCACTGAGCGGTCCTTTCTCGTGAAAGCGTTTCAGTTAAACTGACGGCAACCTTTTTAGTGAAAAACAAAAATGGCCTCAATGCATACGGTTGTTTCCGCCAAGAAAAGGATGAAATTATACAGCACGTCTTTAGGCCAATAAATCCTTCCTACTCACGTTTCTCTTTATTAGAGAGATAAATATTGGAGAGAGGCAATTGGAACCGGCAGTTTGCTGTCGATCTGAAACGACAAAAGGTCTTACTTCTCAAGTTTTTCACGAACGTAAAAAGCACTTGTCTGCACGTTGTAAAGGGCAAACGTAATAAATGGCGCCAAATTGGTCCCGTGAACTGCCATCTCTGCCTTGTACGGTAAACGTGATGTTTAATCTTCTATTATTTCTTGCACGGTAACAGCAGCCTATGTAAACCGATTTAATGAAGACAATAATTGAAAATGTCACAAGTCACGGAGGTCGTTCTTCGAGCGGATGTGTGTTGTAGTATAATTGATACGATTTCCTAACAGTCTTTGCCATCTCGTGCGTGTTGCAAGGCTCACGTCGAAAAATACTTGCGGTGCCGTACTGAAAAATGTCAACATAAACTTGAAACATATGCATCTTAAAGATTTTAAGGACTCTTTCAGAAGGGTCCACTCGTCCTAGCCGGAATTTCAGACGTATCTTCGATATTGTAGTCTATCTTCGAGTCGTATACTTGAGGCAGTATGCGACTCGAAGATACACCTGAGGTTCAGCCTACACGCGCCCTCGCTCGAATTTGAATCTGAATATGTTCATTATTAAGAAGAGGGCAAGACTGGATTCCCGGAAAAAGAGCTCTCTGAACAAGGAAGAGAACCAACAATAAACTCAACCCACTTATCGCGTTGTCTCCAGGGCACGTACTTGGTCCTCCCCCCCCCCCCCCCTCTCCCAAATATACAAGCATCGTCTTACTCACAAAAATACTCTAAACCAAGATCTAATTTCAAAGCTTTATTATTGAAAATATAATCGAAAATAAAATCACAGACCGGTAACTCATTGATAGACTTTCCCAATTTTTGGTTCGGACTTAGCTAGAATAATGTTGACTTGTAAAGATGACTTGATAGAAAAAACCGTCTTGTTCTCAGAGAAGAAAAGTTGCTCATATTTCATCAAGTTTTAAAGAAACGCAAGCACAGCCGAGTGTTTTATATGGAATAATGAAAGAGCTCCGAAGGAAAAAAAAATGACCGAGCGCGTAGCAGACCAGTGTCAGACCAGTGTTAGTTGTAACTGAAAGGTCTCCAGAAAAAAAAAAGGCGCATTTGCTTATCAATAATTGATAATGACTCATGAAGAGTTTGACTAGGCCTTTCGACTGTTTCGGAACCAGCAGGTTATTATTGTGGCAGGTGAGGTGATCCAATAACGGCCTGCTCTTCTTCTTATTGAAGGTAATAACCTGTTCAAAACCTTAAATACCACAAACTGCGAGATTCTTGAACGGCAGAAAAGACGCTCTTTTCATTTTTCGTAGATTCTCCGGGTTTTCTAAAACATTCATCCCCAGAAACGCAACTGTGTCTATATCAGACGTACATGTGTAGTTAAACAATAAATTCATCTACATTTTCTTCATTCATGAATTAATTAATTTTCAGATCAAGAAATATCTAAAAAGGTTCCTCGTGAACTGCTAAATTCTAGAACCACGAGGAAATTTTTAAGATATATCAGAGGTGCTTATCGTACTTCTGAGGTTAATAAATTCCGCTTGGCTGTACAACTCAACAATGTACCGTGACTGTGTGAATGTTTTCTTTACATTGTTTCAATCAAAATTGGTCTCGTAGGTCTGCAAGTTCAATCTTCACTTCGAGATTAATTAAATTTACAACTTACACACAAACCTCTATACATTAAACTGTTTATTGACTTTCGTTCAACTATTTGCTTGCAGTTTTTTCTTTGTATTCTATCAATCCTTTGTCTATGAGATCAGGAATTTCTACGGCCAACCAGGGACCAAGCTAAAATAAAACGAAACAAAGAAAGATAGACATGTAAAAACTAACGACATAATGTTCCGCGACATTTTGGTGACCTTACGACGCTGTTATCAAGGACAGCGAAATAAATAAATGCGAGTTCAAAAAGATTTATTTAAGTACTCTAAATTTGCATAAGTTAGGAGAGCTAGATAAAGACTTAAGCATGGATTGAATCGCATTTATCTATTTCCAGTTCCTTGATAATGGTGTCATGAGGTCGCCGAAACGTCGGAACATTATCTCCTTGGTTTTTAAATGGATATGTTTCTTTCAATCATTATCAATAAACAAAGAAAGATAAAAGAAAAGAGGAACGAACGAATTTCACTATTATCACGTATGGATGACAACTCAAGAAATATAGGCTTAGAAGTCAGGATAAAACTGAGGCCAACTTTTGTTACAAAACGTTGGCTAACTGAACAAAAATGAAAATACCCAGAAAAGCTTTCCTTTCACAATACTGGACGCATTTTACTCTCCAAAAAAAAAACAAACAAACAAACAAAAACATTTCAGAGAAAACAGTGAATCTTCATAGTTCATCGTAGCAGTCCATATATGGTTGAGGGTCTATGGACACTCTTACAAGTAGAACGCTCTACTTCTAAGACTTAATCCTTGATTTGGATTAAAAAAAACTTTAACCAAAGAATCATGGTAGGGCTAAAATAACAGAGCTGCGACCAGTTGCATAAAAGCTAGTGTCAATTGTAATTTGCTTATCAATAATTGATACTGACTCATGAAGAGTTTGACTGGGCCTTACGTCAGATCTTAGCTGTTACGAGTGACGTTAGTATTATATTTTGCAACTGGTTCCTGAGTTCTAATAAATTGAAGCATTTCCTGGAAATGGCAAATTAGAGAGATCACTGCCAGCGACCGTTGCCCCCTTAGTAAGTCTCTGTTGCCCCACAAAAGTCAGACCAGTAAAATTATTGGTAAAAGTGCTGCAAGACAGGGAGTATGGTTTTTTGTCCTTATCAGAAGAGATTAGTTCTGACCACTTGCAAGTACCACGGAAATTCATCTTGTGCGATCATGTTAACAATTCTCATGACCACTCTGTTTTACAAAGCAATGATATTAGTAACTGGTTTCCGAGGGACCTGACATTAAGTGTTTTGTTATGATTTCACTTCAACAGCAACAAAAGAATAACCGGAGCGAACCAAAACAGTCGACTCGGTACTCATAAAATTCTCAAAACCACTGAATGATATTTCAAAAAAATTGTTATACGTAATTTTCACGAGCCGTTGTTGGCGAGGCTGAAAAAAAAGAAAACTGGCTGGACCTGGCGGTGTTTTTCCCGCCTTTGAGACAATTTTGAAATATCACGAGTGGTATTTATGCCAAATATCACGTACAAATCCTGCTATTATTTGTTTATACTACTACCCGCAAAAGGTTTGTAATTTTCACATGTAGGTATTTCAAATTAAGCTGAAATACCACTGCTCTAAGCCAATCAAATTGCAGAAATTTCTCATGTAGTAGTATAACAAGGAGAAATTTGACGCTGATCACTCTTAGGGCTTAAAGGGTTAATTCTCCTCAGTTCCTTATGGCCACCTTGATAAAACCCAATTTTTATCACCATACAAACCCTGCAATTACAACTTTTATAAGCAGCCATTCATACAAAAAAGTCATTGATGCCTTTTCAAGGGACACAATTCAGTCTCTTGTTTCAGCATCATTGTATTACAGTAGAACCTTGATAACTCGAATTTCCCACTAACTCGAACTGTTTTTCATTTCCCTTCAGAGTTCAAGTTACCAGGCTACTACTGTAGTGCTTTTCTTCCTGGCAAATGTTTGAAGTTTCGTGTATTTATGCACGCGTATAACCTGCGACTGCACACATATTTCCGCTCGCCGCTCACACGCATTCTAAATCAATTCAGAAACAAATAAAAAGTAAATATCCTGAAGAATACTCAACGTCCCTAAGTATGAAGTACATAAGAAACCTTTAGCGAGTAAATCCTGTTTTGTGTAGAATTGATCGCCTCGTCATTTCTCAATCTAATCTCCAATTTAGCAAGATTGAATGCCGCTGAAAAGCGTACTTGTTATTACAAAAAGCAAGTTGAATTTTCTTGGGATTTTTTTCTTTGGCCTCTTAACCCTTTATGTCCCAAGAGTGACCAACATCAATTTTCTCCTTACCATATCAATGCATAATCAAGAGAAAAGGTTAGGAGAATTAATGAAATGATCACCTAAGCGAAAAATGTTTTGATCTTTTATCAAATTCTCTTAATTAATTCTATAGGGAAATGTAAAGAGATCAGTCGGGAGAATTTGAGTGTGGATATTGGGGCTTAAGTCAACGTTTAACAATATTACTTACCCCAAGAGCCATGGCATGGGCTATTCCAAATTTAGGGACATTTCTACCCCAGAGAGGCTTAAAATGATCTGTCATACAAATCTTGCCACCCCTGAAATGGAATAAAGAGAAAAAAGAAAAGTGGAAGCAGGCTTCAGAAAAGCAAAACTCTCTTAAAAGACACTCTTGCAAACAGACAACAGATGAAACTCTACCTAAGGTCACCTTGAAAAAATCCCATATAGCCTGCATAGCAGTGGTTTCCCTTTCCTTTTAGCCGAGCCGGTTAAGAGTGGGAGACGTATGAGAGTGAGAAAAAAAAAATAGGGGCAGGGGAGGGGTGGGTTTCCTTCCCAGCACTACTCTCCACCCCCCCCCCCCACTCCATGGGTCTCCAGCATTTCTCCCGCTTTTCTAAAAGGAGACAGAAATGGCGGCTACGTCATATTACTCCAATATTGAAAAACAGCTTCAACTTTTCTTTCCTTCAATCCGACAGACAAATCCTGGTAACTGGATCCCTCACTAACTCAAACCCTCACTGACTCAAACCTCAGGCTAACTCAGACTAAAAAGGATTTACCATGGATTTCCTTCATACATTTACATAATTTTACCCTTGGTAACTTGAGCCCTTGATAACTCAAACCTCCCACCAACTCGACGCATTATTTTTGTTTCCCTTCAGATCATTTCTATCCCTTGATAACCCGAACTACATTTTAAGAGCGTGACAAAAAGATGATAAGGTTCTGCAGTCCGAAACATTGAATTTATTTCAGAACAACCATGTATTCTTTGTCTTTACTTCTTTGTCAGTCCAGTTCAAATACAGTGTCCAGCCCTGTACATTACTCAAGCTTTGTTGCTTCAATTCCCTTGTCAAAATATCAATCTTTATTTCTTGCTGCCCTTGAAGTGAAGTGTGATACTTGTATTCTCTCCCCACCCATTTGCTTATTTCCTTATTCTCAGTAATTTGCTTCAAACTCCCAAAAACTCAAACTCTCGATAACTTGAACTCTTTTCAATTTCCCTAGAAGGTTCGAGTTATTGGGAGTCGACTGTATATTTCCAACACTTGATGTGAATAATGCAATCTCCAAAAAGTGGGCAGTTATTTTTTCATATTATTACTAGTGGTTGCTTACTAGGGTCAGTTCAGAAAGCTCTGGTTGGGGACGATTTATCAGTTTGTTAATGGTGTCTGCTTCTGCTTCAGGGTGTTTTGACTGTATCCTTATATTGAGAGCACTCACCATTTGAAGTCAAGTAAGAATTTTAATGAATAATGCCATTAGTTACCTATACATTTTTGCAGTTTTCCCATCAAGTTCTGGAATGGCTATCTCTGGTGCTGTTGTAGGATATGTCACTGGAATCTGTGAAAAGAATGACATTATGATACAGCTACTGATTGAACACACTGATATGAAAATTTTGTGCAAATTTCTACTCTACTGGATAAAACAAATAGTGCTAATCTTTCACATCTGGAATAAGTACCCCCTCCCATCCACTAGCACTTAAATAGCAGCGATACAAGGAAAATCAGCTTCTACGGCCACTTTATTTTTAACATTGATAACATTGATAAATTGGAGGCTGTTCAGCGAAGAGCTACTAGATGGATCACTAGGTCTGATGATGATTATGATACTAGACTATCTAAGCTAAAATTGTTGTCATTATCTAATAGGAGGTTCACTAGAGATGTTACATTTTTTTTTAATGTAATTCATGGGCATTATGATATTGACATTTTAAATAAGCTCATATTTTGTAAGGACAGAAATTACAGGTTATAACTTAAGGAAAAATGACACACAGGACCTTGTTCCAAATGTTAGTAGAACTGATGGTTTTAAATATAGGTTTTTTAACTGTGTTGTAGATGAATGGAATGGTTTACCCAATCATATTAGAGAATCAAACAGTATTGCAACTTTTAAAAGAAATGTTTTAAGCTTTATAACTTTATAACTAGAACATTTATATTTCTATTTGTATATATTTTTCTTATATTTTAATTAGTGGGGACATCCCCAGTATGTCACATTGGCGCTTTTGGTTGTCTCCTTCTCCACAACTTTTTTTTTCTTTTCTTTTCTTATAGCAGTCTTAGCTTATTTCATTTCATTATTTGCTTGTAATGTAGTGGAGTGAATCTGTAATAAATAAATTTTTAGGCTTTGACTACAGCAGAATCAGTATGGGAGAATAGTTTCTTTTCCATGACGTTACTTCCAGTTATTTCTATATCTATATGCAGAGTTCCTTTATGTGTGTTGCCTCTTCTTTCAATTTTTGTCCTATTGCCCATGTTATTGGTAGATGCCATAAACTTCCTAGGAACAACTCCCGGGGGGGACATTTAGAATTTTTGGGTGGGGACATGCTGCTGAGACCCTGGAGCCCTTAGCCTACACCCACCAGAGATAGTTCAGCTGAATTTTGCGACCCTATACTAGACTAAAATCCACAAATACCCTCTATCCTAGAGTAGTTTTAGGCTGAGTTGCATAATTTTTAACATGCTGATTTGATCTTTTTATATTAATGAATGGCAATTCCTGGTATCCCCAATCTAGACTACAATCTTCAACCAATTGATCAGTTCCCTGGTAAATGATACCCTATTCTAGTCCCAAACTCTCTGATTTTTATACCCTATCTCAGAGTAAACTTCTTGAAAACCATACCCTTCACAGCGGTACAAACCTATTTATTTATTTCATGGGTATTGAGATTTATCCACAAAAATCATAGTGAATAAAATTCGCACTGACTCTGCTCGTAGCCAATCAGGAGCACAAACGACCAAATTTCACCGTGAAAAACTATCATTCACCCAATCAGCAACGCCAACCATGAAATTTCACTTACGATGAATGAACATACTGAAGACAATGTCACCCAAGAGCTATTTGCACAAAAACCCGCACACTTTGAAAATGCGCGAGGGAAGGTTTGCTTCTGTTTGCTTGGTTGAAGAATATATTTTTGGAACACGAAAACAAAAATACCGCTTAAAAAGCTGAACAAGATGTAAGATTGTTGAAAGATTTTTGAAAATGAAGAATGAAGACCGGAAAATTGAAGATATTCCAGCGGCTGAGCTGAATGAATACATTAGCGAATTTATCATCTCCATCCGCACTAAAGATGGCAATGAGTACGAGGCGACTTCCCTCTCTTCGAAGTTTAATGCCAACTTCGAACGACATTTGAAGAAAAAGGGCTATTCTGCCAGCATAATCAACGACTTGGTCTTTGAGAAAACCAGAAAAGTTCTTCAATCCAAGCAAAAACAGCTGATGAAGTAAGGAAAAGGGAATAAACCCAAAGCATCAGTGTCTTTGACAAGTGAAGGGTTAAAAATATTGTATGAGAAGGGTTTGCTTGATATGTGTAGTCCTGGGTCGAGTTGTTCAAAGCTGGGTTAAGATAACCCAGGGTTAGGGCGAGATTTTAATTCAGATTTGAAAGCTTAACGAGCATTTCAGTTTTAATTCTTTTTGTCTACAAGATGATGATAGGAAGCTCTCAAAATAACAGAGAAAATTATCCTAGAAAATGCTTTAGAACACAAGAAAAAGAAACCTGGGTTAAATTTAAAACCGGGTTAAGTATCAGAAAACGAACGGGTGAGCGCTGCAAACAAGTGAGTGAAGTAATTTCTATATAGCCCATATATGTCAGTACCACCCCCCTCCCCCTGGAACAACTTGACCATTCTCTACTTCGTTCTAAGGAAAATGTGATAAGCACCCCCTTGATTAAGTGCTCCCCATTGAATAGGCGCCCTATGATCCCTGCTGAAATTTGAAATAAGCACCCAGGCGATTATTTGGGGAAATACAGTTGGTATGGCATTTAATTAGAAAGCAAAAGTGTTCACAGACTCATGCCCATAGGCAGAAGTGTTGAGTGTATTTATTATGTTTTAAGGATTATTGCAAATGCATTAAATAACCCTATCATGTTCCTTTTGGGCTAGTGGTCAATATATTTTTTATAGAACCATTAAAATACTTACATCAAATTCAATATCAAATTCATACTTAAGGAGGTTGTGGATATACCAGCACTTCCCAAACCATCTACGAATAAATCAAAACTATGCTTAATATGAAGAATAAAATTATGGTAAGAGAGGTGTCTGAAGTACCAAAGCAAAAAAAAATAGGAATGTGAGCATGATGCACTATTATTGTTGGTTTTTACTCTCAATGTGTTGCTTCAGAAAATATCCATACTTCCTCGTCATCCCCTCACCACATGGAAGGTTTACCAGTTTACTAGTTTGAACCTTTCACTTAAGGTTCTTACTGTCTTTTTTCGCCTTCAAGACCCTCCTCCTAGTGATCTTTTCAATGACCGTTTTTGGTGTGCGGATTGGACTGTTTCTGGAAACATCCAATATATTCTACCTGATGCTATGAGGATTGGGCAACTTCCTGGGGAGGGGGTAAGGAGGCAACGGAGGGAAGTATGCTTCTGAAGTCTTCAAACCCCCACCCTTTTTAAGACAAAATCTGTACATTTTGTTACCCTGTTGAGGTCAAGAAACCTTTTTTGGGGGCCTAAATATAATACTTTGTTGGAGAACATCTCTTTTTCTTAAATTTGGAGTCAATGACCTTTTCTAGTTATAAAAAAGATCACATTAATTATGTGGACCCCACCATTTTTGCTTTTCTTTTTTTGCTTCTGGGCAGTAGTTTCACTATTTCTTCTTCGCAAAACGTGTGAAATTTTTTTTCTCCTGTTTCTGCCATTTTCTCCAGCTCTACCAAAACAGCTGAGCTAACACAACTTTGTACCCAGGACTTCTCTGTTGCCATCCCTTGTTCTGTCAATCATTTACTATCAACGTCATTTTACTGGATATTGCAAACGTCTCACAAATTTGGTCAATGCTGGCTGATTTTAAAGAATTGGCCAGTGTATTTCAGCCAATCAGAACGAAGCAATACCTTGAATGAATGATATTAAATGAAATTTATTGTTATCTAAGCAAATGATTGTGATCTTAAGAAATTAAAAAGAAAAGGAATGCCTCACCTGGTTCCTTCTTTGTTGGATTCAAGTCTGAACCAATCATTGTCTGCTTCTTTGTTATTACTCACATACTACAACAAAATACACTTGCTATAAGGTTACAAGTTCCTAAACTACCGGTATTTCATTTGGACACGTAAGCTTTTGAACACGCCGCTGAATACTATTTCTTTGCCTTAATAACTTTTACCTTAATAAGACTGGTGTACTCTTCTTTTAACCTCTGAACCCAACCATCGCTATCGCGAGGTCCAGCTTTTGTTTTTAAAGTCGGAATGGAAGCTACCGTTCTCTTGGTCGCCTCGTCCACCATTTTTACATCAAAATTTATTACAACTACTTCGAGTAAGCGAGCACGAAATGAGATGCACAGAACTCGTTCTCGTCCCCAGGCTCCACTAAGAGCTTGCTCGCAGGGTTCGCAGGGTCGGGTCGATCCCACAAAAGATAGAGATATAGAGTGTTTTCACATAGAGATATGGGTCCCAAAACAATGGGGATGATCGCCATGTTGCCCAAACCAATCCTGGAGAGTTGAACTTTTTCTTATGCCTTTGTTTGACAAATTTGCATAGATGCCATAAAAGGGTATGATCGGGGGTCGGGAGAACTCCATTTCAGCTGGTTAAAGGCTCCTGATTTCAGGGAAGACTGCATAACTGACTCTCCACCACGCATGGGCTCCTGCTCTCCACCCAAGGCTGAAAAATGTTTAAAATTCAAACTTCTCGACATCTCTAGGAAGATCGAAGGCCGGGGCCTCTGCTCGCAGGGTAGGCCATAGGGAACTGTGCTTTAAATTGAAGTATTCTCTGTACTGCTTTTATTTTCGTCTAAGACAGACCGATAAGACGCACAACAGGGGCGGATCCAGGATTTTTTTTTGGGGGGGGGGTGCACTCGTCTCTTGCTCTACTTCAACACCAATGAACCACATAGTTTTTTTTTTTCTTCGCAGAATACCAGTTGTATCAGAAAACCGCAGGTCATCTCAGGGGGGGTGCGCACCCCCTGCACTCTCCCCCTAGATCCGCCCCTGCACAATTTATTTGTCCTCCCTTCAAAGCAGTAATGTTTTTCCTGAGCTGAAACTAGAACCATAGCTGAAGCTTTGCCGTTTCTTTTCTTCGGTAAGGAATAATTATGCATGTGGCTTTGCTTGAAGACAAAAACTACAGAATTGTCTCGGCAGAGCAGGGCTATCGCTGTAGCTCAGCTGTAGTCTTATATACTTCTCTGCTTGTCTACTGAAAAACAGCTAGCACACTTAGGGCCTGTTTACATAGAGTGGGGACCCCGGTCTAGTGGGGTAAGTTTCTTTTGTTTTCAAGCTCTGGGAGACACAAAACAAAAGAACCTTACCCCACTAGACCGGGGTCCCCCACTCCATGTAAACAGGGTCTTAGACAGACCTATGCTCTTCAGAATAAACAAATGTGACAAAGTGTGTTTCTGATAAAGGATTAGAACTTCTATAAACAGCTTCAGCTGGGAGACAGAATGAAGTTAGATTATCAGGTATTGAGAACAAATTTATCAGCATTTTTGTTAAAACCTTAACAAATAGTGTCTTTCTCTTCTGGTTAAATAGCTTGAGTTTATCAGCTGTACCAACCTCGTCAAGGATAAGCCGCGCTTGGCAGGCTTTTCAAGGGTACGAGAAACAGAAAACAGAGAGATTCACTAGTTTAAGTTTATGCCAAACGTTGGTACCACGTGACCAAGTTTTCCCCTTAATTGTCGTTTACGGTTTATTACTTCTGCTAAAAATAAGTAGAAATTCTCAACTTGAATCCGACGTTAGCGGTTTGCCGTAAACGTGACTCTTAATCTATCTACTGATCGAGCGAGATAACTCGATGCAATGGGCACAGGATAGCCTGCGTCGTAGACACTGTAAACCGCTGTACAGACGGATGATACCAGTTGTTTAGGGGCGTCTGGAAAAGCGGGAATCCGGAATAGGAACGGGAATAGGAACAGGAACAGGAACCGGAACCGGAATAGGAACCGGAATGGGAAGAGAAACCTATATAAAAGCAGGGACAACATTTACCTTAATTTAAGTTAATCTGGATTTAATTCCTGTTCAGATTATATACGAAAAATAAGGGAAAAATAGAATAGGAACCGGAATAGGAACGGAAATATAAACAGTGTATAGAATATGAAAAGAAAAAGATATAATCGTGATATAAATAAAAAGCCAGAGAAATAATTAAAGAAACAAGAAAACACCCTTGAAATGTTAATCTAATTAACCTTTCTTTATCTTTAGCCTATGACACATTGTGTTTTCGTGTCAAACATAATAGCGAACTTAAGCAACGAGAACGCTGACCGTCGCTTGATGGAACGCTTCTGTCTCACACAACGAATCTGAATTCTTCCTCTTGCCTTCCAGTGTGCGAATTTGTTGAGTCAGAGCACCTAAAGACAGAAAACATCCACTTCCAGTTTCCATTTTTAATGTCCTGGACGTCAACGTTCTGCTTGCTTATTAAGGTCCCTATTGCACGCGGTTGAGGTAGATGAAGTACTGGCCGCTGAGATGGGTTTTGGGGGAGGGGAGGAAATACATGTTAATACCCTTTTTAAGCTGTGGACTATCTATCTCTGGTTAACTTCCCAATTTAGCACCGTACAATATATCTATGGAGCAAACCTGAGGTGTATGGCAGCCCAATAAACGTCTCCGATGGGTGTCTCGTATACACATGGTCTGACAAATAATATTAACATGTGATAACCACCTTCCTGTGAGAGACAAAAGGAACCTTAAGATCTGACGACGGCAACGCCAGCGAAAACGCCACTGAGAAACTGAATTCGGGTCTTAATTCAAACTATTTCTCATTAATTCCAAATTGCCCAGTCTTTTAAAGGTTGGGAAATGAAACTGGAGACCGCGTCCGAGCTCAGAAAGACACAATAAAATTTATTGCCTGTCGTTCACGTTCTTAAGAGAACTTAAGATTTGATCATTTACATCATAGTTGTGCATACGCGGTGAAGAATTTGACAGAAAGCGCGATACGATGCACTCGCAAAGCTGTTGCTTTACTTATTTAACTTGCGGCTTTTTCTACCTCCTTGCTGCCGTATTATAAAGAGATTCGGGGGGGAGCATGATACCAGAGTAGTGTTCTTATTTTTTGTATAAATTGAATTCGAATTAAAATAATTTAAAGTAAATGATATCCCTGTTCTTGTATCGATTCCCCTTCACATTGCTGTTTCTGTTCCGTTGCTGTTTCCGGTTCCGGTTCCGGTTCCTGTTCCCATTCCCGTTCCTATTCCGGATTCCGGTTTCCGGTTTTTCCAGACGCCCGTTGTTTAGAAGGTGCGTCGGACGGCTGCAGTCGCAGGCTACAATCTTGGACAGAATAAAATGGAACACCAAACCCCCATGGTCCCCCCATGGCCCCAAATCAAGGATGAAGCCTCCCAAAAGCTAAAACGCGCCATTTTGATTTTGGGGGGAGGGGAGGAGGGGTACAAGTTTTCCATCTATTTTGTCTAAGATCGTAGCACGGGAGGAGGGAGGGAAACAGGTCAAACAATGGCAGGCAAGGGCCCTAGCTATTAAACACTATCTCCTGGATAAATGTATTATTCATCCAATGGATAACGCAATTAGTTTCCTTAATTCTTATTTATCTGGTGGAACAACCGACCAACGGGGCAAGACATCTCTCTCAGTTGTGAGTGGGCTTGATAAGGCTGTTTCACCAGCTGTTCATCTCCATTCAGTAGCTAGTCAATTAATTTGCTTGCTGAAGCATACACTCGTTTTGGATTACATTGCACCTTTCAGTTTTTACTCAAATTTGTGATGCCTCCTGCCAAGTGTGTTGTGTTTAAATTTTGGAGTAAAGCCCTTGAAATTCTAGAAATGCCCAGAACAAGGAAAGGCTCCTGCCGGAACAATGAAACATATGATCAGCGGTTCTGACGAAACCGGAAGTAATGATTGCATAGAAAATGGATGAAATGAAAATGAAATTGTACAAGTACAAACTTTCAATAATTCAAAAGTTTGTGCCTGTACAATTTCTGAAAAAGGAAATGATGTAATATATTTTGTTTTAGTGTGCAATGTTTCTAGAAGGTTGCTTCAAGCAGCTGAATAAAGAAAAAGCCCTTCAGTGTGGTAAGCATCATATTTTCTCCCAAAATATCACTGCTGCATCAAATCAAAGCATAAAGAAAAGGACCATCAAATTTAAAATACTGTCATTTTTAAAAAACTGGTTTCCATATGTCAGGAGCTTAGGCTCCTGCACATATGTACAATAACAAAAATAATGTAAAGTAATGGAAAACAATACAGGGAATATCTTATTGGATTTCAAACAATGGTTTCTATACCCTTTTAACCCTAAGATCAAAATTTGAATTCTCATTTGTTGCCCGTATTCATTTCCTACAGAAGTAGTGGGGAGAAGTTGATGAAATATCAAGTAAATTGATCTTGTGTGATCATGTCTGTAATTCTCATGACCACTCTGTTCTTCATAGCATTGCTATTACAAGGAGAAATTTGATGCTGATCACTCTTGGGGCTTAAAAGGTTACAGCTTACTCGTACAGTGGCAGTCAACAAGCACAAATTCTGCCACGTGAGTAACTCGAGTTAGATTCATTTGTAACATACACGAATAGCCACTGTGTTTTCCCACTGTGACTTTTTTTTGAGTAAATGCGACAGCTATATACATTTATTTCAAAATCAATCCACCTTAAATTTTCCTCTAGTCTTGCCTTCTTGAAATACCGGCACCAGGGGGCACCTCAGGCTAACTGATGAAATGAACCCCTCTATCAAGACACATTCTTTGCTTCAATTACTGTAAAATGCATGACACAAGACGTCAAAGCAACATACTCAGTTTTAAGCAGTTGCAAGATGTGTAGATCAGGTGTGCAACGAGTTATGAGGGACACTGAAAATTGCTGGCCAATCGCATTTTTAAGGTATTATGTATGATGAACAAGTATCCAATCCAGCTAGACCAACTAGAAAAAAAACAACTTCCTGGTCTCTCCCCAGGGGGGGGTACTCCCTAATATGGGCTCTACAGGTATGTGCGGCCCCAAAGGGTAGGGTTTTTCAGCCGTTTTGGTCATAAATTGGGTATCGATTTTGGCTATTTTGCCGCCATTTTGGTCATAAATAGGGTAACGATTTTTGCACTGTAGTCTTAACTTTGCAGTCTTATAACCTACCTAATAAAAGCAGATAAACATTGCCTTTAACATTGGTCTGAAACTAGGGAAATAATTATAAGGCAGGTCTGAAACAGGGTATTGATTTAAGGGTCAGGTCA